TATCAAATTCCCTGCTTATTTTTTGCAGTAATTGACAAGGTAATCCTCAAATTCATATGGAAATGCATGGGACACAAATTAGCCAAAAATATTATGGAAGGAGAATAAAACTGATGAACTCACATTTTCCAATTTCAAAAATTCCTACAAAGCTATAGTAATGAAGACACTATGTTATTAGAATAAGGACATATAGATCTGTGGAACAGAATTGAAAGTCCAGAGACAAACTGTTACATTTCTGTATACTTGAGTTTAGACAAGGGTGCCAAGAGAATTTAAAGAGAACTAATCTTTTCAATAAACAGTCCTGGGAGAAAAGGACATCACTTCAAAAGAATAAAGGTGGCCACTTATCTCACACCACACACAAAAACAATTCAAAATGGATCATAGGCTAAACGTAAGAGCTAACACTGTAAAACTCTTAGAAGCAAACACAGAAGTCTTCACAATTTGGGTTAGGTAATAGGTTCTTAGATATGAAACCAAAAAGCACCAGTGACAAAAGAAACATAGATATATTGGACCTTGGTCATATGTCTTTTATATTGGCAAATGATAATACCCAGAGTAAAGAAGAAAATGTGAAGGAAAGGCAGCACGTGACCACAACAAGATAAAAGCTTTCTACTATAACCCCAAAGTCAAGAATAATGCATGATATCTGATAGATGCCTAATAAATACTTTTGAATGATAACTATGGATAGAATTATAAATTGATAAAAGTTTTGTGGTGGTAATTTAAATATATTTATATGTACCAATGACTAAAATGCATATCCCTTTTCTTCATCAATTCCAATTTTAAGCATCCAAAACAAACAACAGAACAAGTTCTCAGAAGTGAATGTACAGGATTATTCACTGTGATTTTAATTCATTCATCGAATAGATACTTATTAACTGCTTGATGTGTTCTAAAAAATATACTAATGCTACAAATATATTGTTGAACTAGATATGTTTTTCCTCCTTTAAAAACTATGATTGGTGGTATATAGGTATTTAATGAGATTTAAAAATTTACATAAATTCAGGATTAAAATTTGTGTTTAAATTAGTGCTAGAGAGATATTTCCCAGCATGAGCTTAAAATACTATATTGCTTGACAGAAAATCAGGAATAAGATAAGCCAAAATATTTTGACTTTGTTCTGGAAATTCTGCATGATATATTATTATAAATAGGTAAAATTTGTAATTTTCTTAAAGATTTTATTTATTTCCTTTTTGAGAGGGAAAGAAAGGGAGAAAGAGAGGGAGAAAAACATCAAATGTGTGGTTGCCTCTCACACAGCCCCCACTGGTGAGCTGGCCTGGCAACCCAGGCATGTGCCCTGATGAGGAATTGAACCGGCAACCCTTTGGTTCACAGGCTGGTACTCGATCCACTGAGCCACACCAGCCAGGGCAAATATGTAATTATTAAATAGAATAGATAAACAATAATATTTGTAGTCTACAAGAGTATTCCTGAAAAATCTAAAACAAATTGAAGGAAAATTAAAAGTAAAGTTTAAAGTAAAATAGGCAGTCTTATACCACATCAATGTCATTTATTTTCAATATATAAGAACATAAAAATACATAAAATCTGAACTTTGCTGAAGAGCATAAAATGCTTTGATAAAATAAGAGGCATATCTTATTTCGGAGTTGGAATCTCAGTTTTATACAAAAATCACTTCTCTCCAAATTTTGTATTAGTTTAAGGTAACACAAATCAAAATATCCATAAAACTTTTAGCCATAAACTTGAAAATTGATTCCAAATTTATCAGGAAAAATAAAAACAAAAAAAAAAGCCAATAATATCTTTGGAAGAAAAGAACAGAGGCTACTTATCCTACCAGAGAGTTAACAGAATTTTAATAGTACCAACGGGGCCAAATTATTAACAAGTAAATTATTATTGTTGTAAGGTAGTTTGTTATACAAAAATAATCAGAGAAATGCAATTTAAAATGCATCTTTCAAGTATCAGGTTGGCTAAACTTTATATATGCATACATATGTAATTGATACAATCTAGTTGTACAAGGAAAGAAGACAATAAACAACATTTTTACACTGTTACTGGTGGATAATATAACTGGCATAACCTTTGTGGAAGCAACTTGATAATACATATCAATAGCCTAAAATATGTGCATCGAGTTTGACCCAAGTATTCCACTTCTACAAAGATATAATGAAAACACACAATATGAAAGCAAACTTTTGTCTGCAAGGATGTTCGTTACAGTCTCATTTATAAAAACAAAAATGCAATGATCTTAAGTGTTCAGTAAGAAGAATGAGTTAGTTAAGTAACTATACATAGTACAGTCGTCCCTTGCTTTTTTTAAAAAAAAACCACGATACAGTGAAGCCGCAATAAGTGAACTGCATTATAGTGAGGGACAACTGTATACTTCACTGGTGAGTACCCATATAGAATTTTATATGTTGGTAAAAATTACATAGGTTTAAGAGTGTAGAAAGTGTTTAAGAGCATATGAAATGTTTGTAAAAGTGTGGGAAAGGTTAATAAGAGAGTGGGAAAGGTTTATAGGAGTGTGGGAAGGGTTTATAAAGCCTTAAAATATATATAAATAATAAAATAAATATAATGCTGCTACTTTGCGGATTTTTATCTATCATGGGGGTCTCTGGAACATAACTCCCACGATAGGTGAGGGATCACTGTATAGCCGTAAAATACAATATTCATCCCTAAAAGAAGAAATTGTATTTAGAATACTTAATGACACAAAAAGCAATTCATAACATTTTAATTGATAAATGCAATTAAAATGTAGGTTGAAATTAGTTCATAAAGTATTATTTCATTACAATTATAGCTGTAGAAATATATGTATACAAATAGAGAGGGAGTGGGAAAAACAGATACCCCAAAAGATAACCAGGGGTCATTGTAAAGTATTATAATTTTTTGTTTATATGTTCTACCTACTTTTCTAAAATTTCTATTTAATTTTAGTTATAAATTTTAACAATCAGGAAGAGAATATCATTGATATGCAAGATTACAATGCAAGTCATTGCAGACAAAACTTGCAATTGGTTAGGGTATGTGAGAGTTGAGAAGACTTTGAAAGATACTAGAATACTACAAAAATTGAAAAGAAACATCCTTTGAATCTCTTCATATAATTTAATTATGCTTTTTGTCTAAATTAGAAAGACAAATTAGGGACTGTATTATTCAATAAATAATTGTACTACCTTAATAATATTTCATGAACTTTAAAATCCTTGCTGAAATGGTTAAAAGAAAATCTAAATAATATTTGTATTCTGATAGCCTAAATTAAGCCAAAAATATTCATAATATGATTTTCTCTTTTTAGGATAAATTTTTTTGAATTTAAATGTATGTCATTTTATATACAGAAATCATGATCTTAAGTATTACTCTTTAAGATATAAATTTTTACATATTTATGGATAGACCAGTTTATATAAAGACAATAGACTGACTAAAAAAGAGACATTAAGAAATCATTTGAATGAAAAATGTCATAAGATGATTTTCTAAACAGCAAAGATGTTCTCTCCTTGAAAACTTGCTAAACAGTGTCTATCTAAATATCACTGTTCATTAATGTAGATGAACAATTACTTTACACCAAATGTATGGAAATTGAATCTAGTATAGTATATTTCTTAGTACACTTAATGTTGTGTAAGAGATACAAAGATTTTCATTTTCTTTAATGTCAGAAGAGTAGCCTATGCTACTTCATCATCTATGCCTGTCTAAATTCTGTAGACAGTATCATTCCGTGTGAATCACACGTACACAAAGCCCACCAAGCAGAGCTCCACGAATGTATTGTACTTAGGAAGACAAAATTATCCTTAGCATTTTCTTTTTTTTATTTTATTTGTTGTTCAAGTACATTTTCTGAAGTCTAAAAATGTCCTCAAAGTTTCTTTACGTTTTCTTCCTGAAAGCTAAATAAAGCTATTATTATTCCTAAAAGAAAATTTCAATCTCAGTAAACTATGTAGTTTAATATCATTATTAATAAATGGACTATTAAAGATAGCACTTAGCATTTAATACCCTTTTTTATTGTGTTATTAATTATTTTCACTTTGTAGTTTAGTACCATTATTGATAAATGGAATATTAAAGATAGCGCTTAGCATTCAATACCCTTTCTTATTGTGTTATTAATTATTTTCACTTAGTTCATTCTGTTCTATACCTATTGAGTATGAGGCATCATGCTAGTTATGTTGGAATACAAAAAAAATGTTTTGACATAGTCTTAGATTCTAATTGCCACACAGAAGTTTGATTCTTGTTTGGGAAGATGTACCACCATGAGTTAACTATCATGGGTAGTGAGAAGCTCTCTCCTTGGCACTTCTGTTGCAGAACCTCGGAAGCAAGAATATGTCACAGATTTCCCCTGAAATTTTGCCATTGCTACCCTTTCCCTCAGGTGCATTCCAGGAAAGGTGTTTTCTATGAGTGTTTGTTTACTGTTGATGTTGTGGTTTTTAAATCACTAAACGCAAGGAACACTGTAAAAGGAACCAGTATCATAGCAACCCCTCCTAAATCTTCATAGCACATCTATAGTAATTTCAGGTAGTGATTCCAAGACCATTAAGCATACCCCATTTAAATATAAGTATAAAGGACATACTGGCTCAAATAAAAGTGATTTTGGGGTTAGCCTCAACTTCCCTCTCCTTCATACATGTCGTCTCTTGAGTTTTCTAGATAGCATGACTGGGACAACAAGACCATGGGTTCCTTGACTGTGCCCTGTGCGCTGCTTGAGATACTCCACAAGCATAAGCCAGACACCTCTGGCAATCATTTTACTGAATTAAAGGGTACACCCAGGCATGATCACAAGTGAGAAAAAGACCTACTACAAAAAGACCTTAGGTGATCTTTAATAGCTTCTTGATTACCATTATCTGTAATACCACCACTCCCCAGTAATTTCAGTAATTGAAAGTTGAACTTACTTCATCAGGTGAAAATGCTATGCCACATTGCATAGATTTCTTTCCTTCTATCTCTATACAATACAGTTTAGGATGATCAGGGTCTGTGTAGTTCCCTACAAGACAGAAAAAAGTACATGTAAGAGGAGCCAGATACATACCTATAACACCATTGTTAAATATGGAAATGAAACACTGAGAAACCCCATCAATGTGTCCTTAGCAATCAAAAAAGCAGTCGCTAAAATATCTGTGCAGGGCCACGTAAGGTTGCTAGCTTAAAGAACTGCTCTGAATACCAAAATTCTAATCAGCAAAACTAACATCTAAACATGGAGCAAACATACATTGAAACAGCCAAAAAAAAAAATTCACAGTCCTATTCAGATGAATGTAGAAAGGAATAAAGGCCAAGTTTATGTAACTGACTTAGTCTGAGGTCTGAGAAAGTTGGGAGACACCCTTTCCAGAGAAGATGGAATAGGAAGACTCAGTCCTCCTGTGATGCCTTAAACTCAGTGCACAAAGAAGAGAAACACAATGTTATACAAGAAAAGTTTTTGACAAAATGGAATCACTCCATATAAAAAAGCACCATGTGAAGATACAGAAACAAATGTCCAATAGCAATGCAAACTTCAGGTTCAAAAATCATAACCACTTAAAATAACTTCTAAAATCATTTCCTGAAAGATCAAATGTTAGAGTAGAACATCTTTCCTCATCTAAACAGTTTTAAAATCCTTTTTTCTCCCTAAAGTTTTCAGATTATGCCAAAGAATGGTAATAATTTCAATTATCCCTGTCCAGAAACAAACTTCAGTAACTCATTTTACCCTCTTTCATCCTATTCAATTTCACTCACCTTGATATATAATGTAAAAACCATTAAACAAATGAACAAAAAACCCATCAAGTTTATATAATACAAACATTGTCGGTGCTATGGGAAAAGATGCAGATATTATACAGTAAAGAATATCCATGTAGAATAGAACATAGAAGACATAACAGCAGTGGATAAATAAATCAATATTCATAAATACAATTGGAGTATATATAAACATATAGTTGATGAAATGCAATCATCCAAGATAGCTTCAGTAAACATCTCTTGAGTGCCTACAGCATGCAGAGCACTATATTGAACAACTCTAATAGAAAACAAGAAGCATAAATGCAGTCCTTAATCTCATGGAGCTCACAGCATACTAGGGGGGACAAAAGGGGTACACAGTCCTTTTTGATACGATGCAGACATTGGTTAGTTCTATAATAAAACTTACACAATGTCCTAAGGGAGAAAAGATTATTTAAATAATTTCACACAACTGGATAGAGGGTAGGGAATGGGACTAATGACCCATAGGACACAGGAGGTTGAAGCTAACTTATTATCAAAGGCAGAATCTCAGGTGGCAGGGACAGCAGAAGAGGAAACATCCTAGAAGGGAAGCCCAGTGCCATTGGGAGGAAACGCAGAAGAGAATCTGGTGGTGGGACAGGGAGCTGGAAAGACAAAGTGATGTCATACCCAAATGCATCTCCACCTTTCCTCTCCTGTACGTTGCTCTGCAAAATGATCCTGAAGCTATCATGTAAAAAGCCAAATATAATTTGCCAACAAAGGGCATTTATGTGTTCACAAATTGATAATAATCAGAGATATTTTCAGGGCATTTTAAGCATAAACTTTACTGCACATTATTAATTACTAAAATCAGCTTCCATACTTCTTAGGCCTACTCAGCAGCACAGCAAAGCTTTTTAAGCAGAGGTGTGATAAGATCTCTGCTTTGAGGAGACCACTCTGGAATGAGTCTGAGGAGAAATGCTTGGGGGCAGAGAAAGCATTTGAAAAGATCATGCAGTGGGCTAGAGGGCAGGCTTGAGCTACGCTAAGGCAGAATCATGGAAAGAAAGGCACTTTGCAGACAGAATAGCTCCACTGAATAACCAAGGAAAGTCTGATCTATTGAGTAAGGTGCATAAAAGTATATGGGCCAATCACTGAGAGTGAAGGGTTAAAACCATAAAAGTTTCAACATCTAGATATTTTGGAAAAATGAACAGAAATCGCATATTTATTTCCAATTGCCTCCTCTTCTTATTCCCGGGCTATTCCACAGTCTCTTCAAACACAGGATGTTCACCTGGCCCTGTTCCTCCTGCATTACATCAACTGTGAAGTGTACCTCTAGTCACCCATCTCTTAGAATCAAAAACTGGGAGTGATTCAACACTTTCTCCTCTTCCCTAATACCCATGTCCACATGGTAACCAAGTCAGAGCCTCTCTCTCCCTTTGCAAAAGGAAGCCTAGTTAAGTGTGAGCCTCATCACACCATTGCATGGATATACATCCTCTAATGGAGCTGCCTAACATCTAGACCCTTTGTAACCTCAGTCTCACCCACCCCTCCAGTCCTCTCTCCCTGTACTCTAGATATCCTGAACTATTTCTGTGCTAGCTCATATCTAGGCTTTTACTTGCATTCCTTCATGTATCCCCTTTTCTTGTGTATCTCCTCCTCATTCTTCAAGATTCAAATTACGCATCAAGTTTTCCAAAATATCTTCCCTTATTGCTGATTCTTGGCTAGTTTTCCCCAGTATATGCTCCCTTAGCACCATGCACTGACTTGTCTTATAGTATTTACCATGTTACATGGCAATAATCGTATTCTTTATCCTCCTTACCTACCGTCGTTATATGTGGTCTCCATTTGTCACCTAGATCCAAGAGCCATCTTTCTCTGCTCTGTTCTACTCTGGCCCGACCTCTATAGGCGGATTCAGCTAGGCCCCCTTGCACCTCTGCCTCTGCATTGGTTCAATCACAGGGAGACCCCAGCAGGATATGAATGGGTAAGAGGTGTGTATGCCCTCATGTCTTCACTGCTTTGGCTACAATTCTGGCAATGGCTTCATTCCTTTAGAACTATAGCTCTTTAACTGGGCCCATCTTTCATAGTTTGCCACTCACAGGGTTCCGATAATATCTTGCCTCCTCTTGCTCCTTCAGGCCCAAAGATAGTGGTAGCTTCCATCCCTAGTTGGTTTCTTTCAACCTGGCTCCCACCTCCATAGATAGATAATCCCTTTGTTAAACCCTCATTATTTAAACCCTTTTAGTGAATCATCTGTTTAGTACTGAGACCTTGACTAATAAACTTACTGTTCATTTCTTGAGAAAAGATATGTCATTATCTTTATAGACTCGAAGTGCAGTATCGAGCCTATAATTGGTATTCAACAAATATTTATTAAAGAAGAAATGACTAAACCAATGTTGAGCAAACATTTTAATAAGGGTCCAGATAGTAAATATTTTAGGTTTTGCAAGCTACATGGTTTCTGTCACAACTATTCAATTCTACAATTATAGCAGGCATGCAGCCATAAACAAAATACAAATAAATGTGCCTGTGTTTTAATAAAACTTTATTTATAATGCAGGTGTCAGGCCAAATTTAGCCCACAGGTCTTAATATACAAACCCCTGGAGTAAACAAATGAGATGCACTTGTAAAAGTGCATATTTTTTTACAACTTAATTTTAAAAGGGAACCCTAGTACATTGTTGGTAGGAATGCAGACTGGTGCAGCCACTGTGGAAAACAGTATGGAATTTCCTCAAAAAACTAAAAATGGAACTGCCTTATGACCCAGCAATTCCACTGCTGGGATTATATCCTAAGAATCCTGAAACCCCAATTCAGAAGAACCTATGCACTCTAATGTTCATAGCAGCACTATTTACAACAGCCAAGTAATGGAAACAACCTAGGTGCCTATCAGTAAATGAGTGAATCCCAAAACCAATGGTACATTTACACAATGGAATACCGCATAGCAGAAAGAAAGAAGGTGCTCCTACCCTTTGTGACAGCATGGATGGAACTGAAGAGCATTATGCTAAGTGAGATAAGCCAGGCAGTAAAAGACAAATACCATATGATCTCACCTTTAACAGTAACCTAATCAACAAAACAAACAAGCAAGCAAATATAATCAGAGACATGGAAATAAAGAACAAACTGATACTGACCAGAGGGGAGGGTACAGGGGCATAAGAGGGAAAAGAAGGGGAAGGGTCATCAAGGAACATCTATAAAGGACCCAGACCCGTGGACAAAGCCAAAGAGGGGTAGGATTGAGGATGGGAAGAGGAGGTGGGTGGGGAGGGGGAGGGTGATAGGTGGAAAGTAGAGACAATTGTACTTGAACAACAATAAAAAATAAGAAAGAAAAAAACCATAAAACTACCAAATACATGCGTAAACATATAGAGAACTTTCCAAGGACATTTATCTGAAATCCATGAGCAATTAAAATTAGAAATTAATAATTTTATTTTCATTTATAGTATATCCTTGTGCATAAAATACCTAACTTATTATATCAAATCAATTAATAAGTACAGTTACATGTCATGCATTACCAAAGTGTTATGATATTAATATTGATGTATTTCTAGAAATAAAATCATGATGGATTATAGAGTATAAGAGAAACATGCATTGAATCATTAAAAATAGTTAAGAATGATTGGCCTTGATTTACAATATTTGTTAACATTATACATTTGAGCAACTTAAAACTATTTTACTTTTATAATAATATTATTGTAGTATAAAATTTATACCTGCTTGATTTTTAAAAATCATTGAAAAACAAGGATGGCCTTCTAAATTAAACTCCACTCTCACACGTGTTATAGTTTTGTTTTTGACTATAAATGGAATAACCTGGGTACCACCGATAAAGGTTCCACTGAAGAAAAATACGTTCTAAAAATTTAAAAAAATAATGAAAAAGTTGTGTAACAGTTTATGAGAATAATGTAAATTTAAAATTATACCGTAAGCGAGTAGATCTTAAAGAAATTGTAACAATGTTTGGTGACAGATATTAACTAGACTTATTGTGGTAATCATTTAGCAACATATACAAATCAAATCATTATGTTGTACACCTGAAATGAACATAGTGCTGTAAGTCCATTCTACGTCAATAAATATTATACTATTATGTTCACCAAAGACATTAACTAGAATACTCTATAAAAATTAGTTACATTTTCCTTCCTCCCCCACCTCCTGTATGTAATCAGTTACCAAATACCATTAATTCTGCCTCCCTCCTCACTTCTTATCCTTACTGTAATTGCATGAAGTTAGTAACTTCTTTCTTTTCACTTCATTTCTAGATTCTGACTTCTTCCAGTTCTCTCCGCCAAAACTAAGTCACAATGAAGCTCATTGAAAATATGATCACACCACTTTGTGTCTTAAAATTTGATGATTCTCCTCCATCTACAGGAGAATGTCTAAGTTCATTAGCAGGGCTCACAAAGTTCACCATGATCTTCCCCTGCCTCATGTTCCAGCCTCACCTAGCTTCATTCTCACCCTATCACTTCATACTTCAGCAAGATCTATGACTTGTCATCTCCAACCAATACCTGACATTTCACCTTTCTGTATCTTTAAAAACATATCTCTCTGCCATGAAGGCCTTTTACTAACTTATACTTGCCTGATAAAATATTATGCATCCTTCAATCCCCAGTTAGAGAAACAAATTAATTACACTGCTTGAGAGTACTTCTATTCTTTATATTTACTTACATTATACCATCACAAAGTCCATTTATTTAGTGGACCTTAAGCCTAATTCATTTTGCATCCCTAGCAACTGACACTGAGCTTAAATATATAAGGAACTGAATGTATCTTAACTTGACCTTATGTGTCAGGGTGTGCCTATACCACAAAACTCTATAGAATCTGTTCTTCCAGTGGAGTTACAATATGTACTCTACAGTTCCTTAACAAAAGAAGACAAACAATCCAATTGAAAAATGGGCAAAGGACTTGAACAGACACTTCTCCGAGGAGGACATACAGAAGGCCCAGGGACATATGAAAGGATGCTCAGCCTCACTAGCCATCAGAGAGATGTAAATTAAAACCACAGTGTGATATCACTTTACATCAGCCAGAATGGCCATCAGAAACAAATCAACAAACAACAAAGACAATGGGGTGGGGGAGGACTGAATGTGGAAGTGGGGGTGTGGGTAGGGCAGGGTAGAGTAATGGTGGAAAAATGGAGACAACTGTAATTGAACAACAATAAAAATAATTTTAAAAGAATTACATATAGCATTAAAAGAGAAAGAGGCTACTATAACCTAATGTTAAGGAAAATAATTAAGGTCAACTGGCCACTGGTTTCATGTACAATATTAACCCAGTTGTACAGGTGAAATCTGTAAAATCCAAATCAGATAATGAAAGTATGATGCTTTGTATATGCAAAAAAATGATTCCTCTTATCCCATTCTGGCCTTGTCCATTTGCCCATTTGGAGAAAATCTCCTAATTGTTACTAAGACTCACACATGTGTGCCATACACATGTGAAATGTATTGCTGACAATACCTGGTGAAACTAGAATATTGCTTTTCAAGGCAGTCAGGCAGCTATGTTTCAAGTCAAAGATAATTAGGAAATGTTAATAAATATTTATCAATGTAAAGTCCTACATATTGCATAGTTGTACATAACATAAAAAGCCTGCCACCAATGTCTTTAGGATGAGAACAGAAAGTAGTGAAAGTGTCAATACTTGTCTAATATGGTTCAAGGAGGTACACCGCAGCCATGGGAAAAGCACTGACACTCCAAGATTTAATCTCCAGGGATTACCATAGTCTTGGGCTAGGGCTAGCTAGCTTAATATTTGTCAGTCTATGTGGACTTCTAATGTCTTCAATAATGAACAAAATAAAGTTTAGAAAATCATAACTTAAAGCCAGACCATAGAACTGTGGCAATGCCCTTAAAGTAGGGCCTGCCTGGGGCAACCAGCATCCTCATCCATTTCTTCTCAATTTAGTTAAGCACCAGAATGGTGGTAGGTGCTGGGGTGCTATTTAAAGAGAAAAAGGAAAGTGCTAGAAAATAATATGACAATTGCCATAATGAAGACATTCCCAGAGTTGATGATATTCATAACATCTTATAAATGTCTTAATAGAGAAGCATACGGGTCTGCTTTGAAGGATCAGAGCAAGTTTCTCTGGGTAGATGAGGGCAGACCTAATTCCTGAAAGGTTGTCCTCCCCCTCAAAAAAGCATGTGTGTGTGCACTCTATAAATTACAGAACAAAATTTTGTTAGGACCCAGAATTTAAAAAAAAGATAAGTAGAATTATAATTTAGAAAATGCAAATCAAAACCAGTGAGATACCACTTTATAGTCCATAGATTGGCAAATATTGCCTTACAATACAATGTACAGAGCAATGGAATGTCAATCAATAAAAACTCAAGAACAAAAAAGTAGAAATTATGTTGTGAAGTCAAACACGCATACATTCAATGTCTCAGCAATTTTACTCCAAATTAACTCTCCCATAAGTACCTCAGAAGGTATGTATCTGAATGGTAATAGGTATAGTATTTGTGATAACAAAAAAACAGAAACACCTAATTTATGGACAACAGAAGAAGCCTACAAACTATAGTATATCTACACAATGAACTATTAAACAGTGGTGATAAGGAATAAAATACAGCAACATACAACTTAGATAACCTTTGGAAACACTATTTCATTAAAAGCAATACACCAAAGACTTTACATTTTTGTTATAAAGCTCAAAAATGAAAAACTAAACCAACCAATGAATGGTTAAGGAATTCATACACATGCAGCAACCCAGTAAGAAAAAAATAAAGGGATAATAATCACAAAATTAAGGAAAGGAGTTATCTCTTAAAAGCAGTAGGATCCTGATGAAGCTGACAGGTGATTGAGTGGTACCGGTAGTGCTCTGAAACTTAAGTTCAGTGGTGAATTCTTAAGCCTTTATTTAATATTCTGCTTCATCACTTATTTACATTACATATATTAATTTCTGGGTCAAATTACTACATAATAAAATTTTCTAACATAAAAAATGGACACACTAGGGATGTACAGCAGATGGAAATCACCATGGTGATAAATTGAATACACAAATAGGTAACACACTCACCGGTTTGATTTCGACATCGGCAACTTCAGCACTTCCACTAACCCTAATTTCTACATCACTTCCACGGCGAATAGCAATCTAGTATTTAGGAGAAATATAAAACTCGGTAGAAACCACATTAAAATATACACAACTGAAGTGTTAGCTGGCATCTATGTAACATTTTATAATTGAAATAATCATAACCTATTATAAATGTCACAAGATTTCTTATTATGCAGAATTGCTATTCCTAAGAGGAGTGAGTGTTCAACTCTTCAAAAACCTCTACCACAAGTAGGACCAGAGGACAGCTTGTGAATGTGACCACAGAATTCTACCCATTTGAATTGACCTTATTACCTCAAACGCTCTGTGGCCTTTCTGTATTTACCTAATTTCAATGGATTATTAAAATTAAAACAGACAGGAAACTGAGTGCAAACACACTTCTTTCCATAGAAAGAGACTAATATCCACCACTATAATTACAGCAGCTAAAAATTGCTGAGCATATGGATCAAGTATGGAGCTAAATTCATTATCTCCCTTTTTAATCCTCAGTATTCTGTGAGGTTACTACTACCAATAACATAATTTCCAAGTGAGGAAAACTAAGGTTTAGAGAGGCCAAGTAGTTTATCTTTTTCTTGGGGTCACCAAACTTGAAAGCAGCAGTGTGAAACTTGAACCAAGGAGTACCTGAACACTCAACAGTTTCCAGGAAAATTCAGATAGTGAAATAAGAATTTAGGTGTATAATTCCTTGTTTTGTTTTGCATCCCTAGCATCTACAACAGAGACTGTGTTGAATGAATGAATAAGCGAATTTCATTGTATTACACTGTTAAAAAGGTAAGCTTTGTAAAAACAGCGTACTCCTCTAAAATACAGCAGAAATTGATCTTTTAGTAAAATCTGTACTTTAGTGGCCATATTTTTAAATTTATTTCAGAATACTATGTAAAAAATGTTCTGTCCAAATCTCAGACTATATGCCACAACATATAATTTATAAAACATGTTTCAATACATATTTCTCTACAGAAGATATAATTCTTAGGTTATTTATTTGGGAGCCATGCAAATGGGTGTTTATTACATTAAGCTACATATTATTTAAAAATTGTTATGAGAAATTGAAGGATAAAATGGGGGATACCTCTAAAGCTATTGATTTTGATCTGATGACAGTGTACATATTATTTTTTTAATGTGAGTAAATGTACACTGTTGATCACCAAACTAAAGATCAAGAGTATTCTATTCTATGAGTTTATAATAAATAACATTTGTTACAGACTGGTCTTACATGTTTTATTTCTTCTGTTTAATGAACACAGAGAAGTCCCTAAAATCAAGGTAATAGCTTTTCATTTACCTAATTTCTAGAATATAAAATAGTAAAACAATTGATGTGTGTTATAAAATATCAATGTTAACATCATATAGAATTTACATATAATTCATACAGTCATTAAAGCTATTTAGAATTAGCATTCCAAAACTGATTATTTTTTCCTAAGGTATCTAATTAATGCCATGAAACAAAATCCTTTGCTTTGTGACTAGTGAGGGCTTGTCACAAGTTAGAGTTACCAAGTATAAATCCAATTTAATGTGAAAAATGCCTCACACTGAAAAAGGTATTCATTCTAATTTAGTACAAATTTCCATTACCAGCTTCTACCCAAAATATATTCTACAAATCCTCTTGCCAAGTTCTGCTAACCATTTTTATAATAGCTGATATAGGTAAGGTTGCTCTTCTTTTAGATTGTTAAAATCTGCACTTCATTAGAGCTAATTCAATTGCTAAAAAAAATAGTAATTTTTAAAAATACTCTTTACTATCATATCATTGAAACCCATTTTCATTAGAAATCATTAAAACGAGCTTTCTAAAAATAAACATGTTTACATGTTACAGTATTATACGTACCACTACGCATATCTTAAACCAACAAATCCACGTGGACATATACACCATGCAGAGGCACACATACATAAACATACCTTTACTCTTGCTTGAAATTTGTCTGTTGTGTTAGGTGTGTAGGTCATATAAATGGTACTGAGCCCCCCAAATGGAATTATTCCTTCTGGTGGAACAATATTAAGCACAGACAAAAGACTGTTTCTGCGAACCTGTAATAAAAAATTTGCAGAAATGCTGTATTATCCTTTCTAATTTTTTAAGTGCAGTTGATATATAGTCTTATATGTGTTATATTAGTTTCACATGTATGATATAGTGATTCAACATTTTATAACTTCCAATGTGATCACTGCATCAATTCTGGTAATAATTGGTCACATGCAAATGTCCCACAATATTATTGACTATGTTCGCCTTCCCCTCCATTTCACCCACCTCCTCCCTTCTGGTCACCATCACTTTGGTCTCTTCCTATGAGACTGTTTTTGTTTTGTTATTCGTTATTTTTTAAAGTTACTGTTCCAGAGCTTTCATAGAAAAGCTTCCAAACTACTACCTAGAGAGAGAATTCCCAGGCACAGGGCACAAGATGATTCTGTAAGCGATTTTCAAACTCCAGATGCCCATACAGTTTGGAATTCAACAAGGATGTGTACCCTAAAACCAGCAAACAGAACATTTGGCAGTGGTATCTTCCAGTTCAAATAGGAAGATGAAGTTTATTATCTGAAGTGTTTTCTAGATTGTGAAACTTATAAAGATGAAATCTATCTCTGAGAGAAAATGCCAAAGTTCTAGATACTACATCAACAGTTTGTCTTTTCCCTGATCATAAAAACTGATGGCAAAGTCAGTGGGGAGGCATGATGATAAAGTAACCTCCTCGTTTGTTATTTCCTCGATAGCCTATTGTCAGAGTGGGGGTGTCCGACCTGCGGCCTGTGGACCATATGTAGCCCAGGATGGCTATGAATGCGGTCCTACACAAAATTGTAAATTTACTTAAAATATGAGGTTTTTTGTGATTATGTGTTGCAATGTATTTAGTACGTGGTCCAAGGCAACTCTTCTTCCAGTGTGGCCCAGAGATGCCAAATGCTTGGCCAGCCCTGGGCCTAAGGTATCATGTCGACATTCAGAAAAGGAACTTAACATAAGGTTTTATGGTATGGTTTGTCACAGATCAGTGTAGCCTTATCTACCATCCTCTAAACCATAATATTTTAAAGAGAAATTCAACATTTAAAGGGAGATAGGAAATTAAGATATTTGAGGGAATGAGGGAATAAATAGCCTACTGATCTAATTCTGAAGAAACAGAGTAGAAAAGGGTATCCTTACTTGCTTATTAGGGCAGAAGAAGACATGTAAATAAAAGCTGGAATGAAAGATTTCAAACGCTAACTTCCCTTGTCACTACTGGTAGATCTAAATAGATTTTTTCAGTAAAAAAAAAAAAAGCCTATCATCACTTTAAACACTCCCCCACCGATGCGCAATTTAAATCAGGAGAAACTAGGAATACAGTATCTTTAAAATAGCTTAGATCTAGGTCCCAGTTGCTGCCATAAAAGTCCTGATGACAGAGGAGAAAAGGAAAAGCATATCATTAAATATGGAATGTAACATCAGCAATGTATATTTTTAAACGTTGTTGTCTTCAAATCACTTATCTTTTTTCAATATAACAAAATAACAGAAAGAAAAAGGGGGGCGGTAAGAGAAGACAGGGAGAGACTGAGAAAGGAAGGGAGAGAGAAATGAATTTCATAAGAAATTTAAAGAACAAAGTAGATAAACTGTACTCAGATAAGTCTTACATGAAATAGCTCAAAATTAGCAGTAGTAAATTTATAAAGACTAAAGTATTAATAATAGCACAGTGTTCATAGCAAAAAAATTAATTCAAATTAAAATGCCATCTGATCTAAGCAAGATGTGAAGATTTTACACCACCTTGTAAAAAGCATGGGTTTGTCCTACATTATGAAGAACAATTTTCCTCCAAGTTGTTAAACCTTGAGGGCTATCGTAGAAGAGTATCCTTGGCTCCAAAAATAAGACCTTGGCTTCACCCACCTTATAATAAAGAAGGAAAGGGAAATGCAATTGAATAATAGTAAACACTTTTTTTATCCCCACCAGATAACTCGGATTTTTTTTTCAGCTTCACAGGAATTTCTAAAATATGAGGTATTATCAGATTTTATGCTGTGCTGAAGAGAAAGGAAAATAGAATGGAATATTTAAATTATACTCCTAAACTGAGGAAGGCAGGGGGAGTGAGATAACTCTATGGAGGAAGTAAATTCAGGACTGAGAATCATGTACTGAATAGATTAATCATTGAAGGAGATTAAGAGATAATCTACCTAACTATGTACAGTGTTACCATGTGCTGTGCAAAAGAAAAGAATTCTAGGGTCACCAAAGTATGGGAAATAATGTGCCAAATGAGAGTATCCAGGCATGTTTCTACCAGAAGTCCTCTTATAGTACTTAACATGCCAATAACGTACATTTAGCTTATCTGAGAATGGAGAGGGTGTTTACTGTGATTAACACATCACTCAAGCGCAGGTCTCCCTCACATCCCACACAAATCATTTCACAGAACTAGTGCATCAGGAAACACTTTTTGGAAAAGTTGGTATTATTCACCTCTCCCATTTCACAGGAAAGCAAACCATAGACAAGGGCAACTGCAACCCATTTCCCAATTGCTCCTTCAGTGCTCTTTACCCCGCACCCTATTGTCTTTATCTGTGATACATGATTTCTTTTTATCTTAGGAGAATTTAGTGTAGTGTTAAAATTCTTTGAAGAACATGGCATGGGTAATTGGAACAATAATTTTCAAACAAAGCTAACAGAAGATGAAAGGATCAAGTCCTTAATAAATCAATGACAGACTTGAACATTTTATTCAATTGCTTCATGTTGCTCCATCTTTAATTTCTTAAGAGCAATACTTCACAGTCCATTGAATTTTAAGGGCTTCAAAGTTTACCCAAAAGAATCTAACTGATTATTCTGATATCTCAAAGTTTAATTCTTAACCAATCCTAGTGCAGAAGAGGAGGAAAGCAAATTTTATCAGAGCATTAACGGTAAAGACTGTGGAGACAGAGAGATCTGAATATAAAGTCCAGCTAGAGTACTTACTGCATATACAAACTTGTATTAGTTAATTAACCACTCAAATCCTCTATTTTCTTATCTATCCACTGAGTTATTAATACATACCTATAGAGCTGTCATGAGGATTAAATTAAATACTACATGGACAGCATTGAATATCATGCCTAAGACTGTAATTACTCTATAAATGATACCTATTATTAAGGCCAAGTCCACATTTACTAACTTGCTCCTCTTTTATGTCAGAAAAAATACACAAAGGATGAATATGTGGAAAAATTTATATTAGCAAACTTGCTAAACACAAAACAGTGAAAGCAGCAGGACCCAGCTCATTTCAAGCCCAGAGCAATGGAAAAACCCTACTGATGTCTGACTGCCACTTGCCATCATTAAAATTGATGAATCTCTTATCTCTTAATGCTATAAACTCCATACCTAAAATATGTAAGAGCATGACCATGGCATGCAGACACAGAGATGGGATTTAGTAAAATAGCATTTGGCTTGTGTTAAATTACTACAAACATCAGGAGGGAAATTTGGTACACAAGGGGATTCTTACTGATTAAGAGGCATGAAGTTAAGGCCTTTTAGGCTCTACCACAGAAGTAAAGTTAAACTTATATAGTGCAGCTTTCATTTTTCTCACATTTTTATTCCAAGAAGTATATTCTATAAAAATAAGAATTTTTCATGTTTCCTTGCTATGTAAATTACATGATCCATTTCATACTAAATATGAGTTACTGCTAGAATACTAAAAATGCAACACAGTAAGGCCAAAATATAATTTTCTCTATTTTTCCTTGGTGTCTATTAATGAAATAATTTAATTAATAATTGAGTTTCAAGTGGCTCCCATGGCATTATATATTTATACAAGTTCTGATAACAATCTAGTATTATTGGCACAAAAGTCTTGGATATATAAATTAATTCTGAATAACAACATTTTTTAAGCAAAGTCTTCATTTATGGTACAGAAGTGGCTCGAAAAAGATGTTAAGATAACTTAATTAACTAAGTATTCCATGCAGTGTTTACCAACATAGTATACATATCCAACTACTCTATACACATATGTATATCCATCCAATTTAGGGCCCTCAAAATAAAAATCATATTCAAGGGAAATCATTACTTTTACAACACAGTTTAGTATCATCGTGTTTCCTTCATCAACGTGAAGAACAAATTGTCCCTTTTGTGGAGAACTGAAACCAGGATGCCACGTCACTTCACATTCCAGTGAGGAGAATGGATCCACAGTGCCTACAGAGGATTTAGAGAGAATAAGGCAGTTTCACATTTTAATCATCTTTATTTTTTTAATATCCAAAATAAGGGCTGGCATCCAAGTATAATGAGATTATATAAAATATTTAAATTAAACTTAAAATGGAAATACTAAATGAACAATTGTCAAATACCTACACTGTGATTAAAATCTAGAATGCATACCTTATTTTCCAATTTTAATAGGCAGATGAGAATATTTGACAAAAATATGCCAATACACCAGTATTTCGCAAAAAATAGAAATTTATCAATGAAGCAAACACTCTAGGATTAGAGATTACTTCACACATACACAGTTGAAAACCATTTGTGATCCTTGAACAAAGGAGGGTGCCATCCATGTTTCCCAACACTCTGAAATACTTACTAATGTCAGAAACTCATTCAGTTTTCAGAGGGAGTTTTCATTTTCTTTTAAATGCTCACATCCCTAGAAATGTACCTTTTGATATAGCTATGAGTAATCAACACATATCTGTAATTCAAATGTACTGAAAACCCAGGAGGTATCAGGCACATTTAGTGTAAGCTGCTTTATCTGTTTAAATTCATTATCTCCTTTAAAGTAAGAAAATAATACTTGATGGAAAATATGTCTCAGAAGTTCTTCCTTCATGAAGAGAGGATCACCTGAGAGTGGAAGGCAATGGCCAATGAACAAAGAGATGAGTGAGCATCACCAACTTTGCCTTGGGTCAAGATGATTCTCATGCAGTGGTAGTTTTGTCGATCGTAGAAAAGATATAGTGCCTACCTCCTGTGACCATGAACAGAGATAACTATATATGTAAAGGAAGTAATATACTGTGTGATGCCCAGAAAGTGCCCAGTGTCAGATAGTATTATTAATACCCTTGAATGCCAATACTTTAGTAGGCACAATAATTTATAAAAAGAATAGAAACTGGTTATGGAAGAGCTAATAGTCTAGTGGGAGTCTATCATAATTATATATGTCTATAAGTAACACACAGTCATGCTACAGTGCCTTAGGTAGATAGGGGATTATTTATCTTATGAAATTAGAAGTCCATGAATAAGGTATTTCAGGGATGCCTTGGCAAGTTGACACCTTAAAGCCATTGCTCCCTGGCTTCAAGGAACAGTGCTCCTTCTAGCTTCCCACACTACCATCCCTTACTGTGTGTGGCCTTCCTCAGTCCAGAAAGGTATCACAGCATTATGTTAAGAAGAGCAGTTTCTAGGATCAGACTCCCTGGTTCAAATTTCAACTCTGACTTACGAACTAAGACCTTGGATGATTTACTTTATATATGTAAGTAACACAGTTTCCTTATACATGAAATGGGGATAACAACTGTCTCTAACACAGAGAATGGATGTAGGGGATGACTAAATAAAATACATATAAGGACTTCAAACAGGCCTGGCAGAAAGAAGGGGGATGGAAATAAAAGAAACTTCTGTCCATATCTAACTGGCAAGAAGCTTGGAAAAAGAGCTATCTAGATAAGAACACTGCTTCCGCAAACAAAATGAGGATCGTGTTAGGAAGGGGAATGGATATCAGCTTAGCAACATCTACCACAACAGGAGATGTACAGAAACAAATAATTGTAGATAACATTAAAGAAATACACAGTGGGGGCTGAAAAGAGGGGGAAGGGAGTCTAAATTAGCCCAAGACTGTGGAGAAAACCTCATTTAAGGAGATGGCATTTGAGCTGTGACTGAATGGTAAACAGGAACTCCGAAGGAGGACAGAGCTGGGGAAATATAAAATTCAAATGACAGTGCTGGAAGAGAGTGGTGTGTGGAGAAGAGTGTGATGGGAAGTAACACACAGATGGACATAGAAGACTCAATACTATATATAAAGACAATTGAGGCCCTGGCTGGGTAGTTCAGTTGGTTAAAGCATTATCTTGATACACCAAGGTTGCAGGTTTGATCCCCAGTTAAGACACATACAAGAATCAACCAATGAATGCATAGATAAGTGAAACAACAAGCCAATGTCTGTCTGTCTCTCTCTCACTCCCTTACTCTGTCTCTCTCTGAGATCAGTTTTTAAAAGAAAAATCTTTTAAAACAAAAAACAATTGACCAGGGAACAGGGAAAATAAATTGAATGGCTAGAGTGAGCACGGGTGTGACTCACAGGGCAAGTATTACAAATGGTCAAGGAAGGAGAGAATTGAGAAAGATAGTGAACTGATTCAAGTCAAGTTTGAAGATTAAGCAGACTCAAGAGATCAATAAGATTAAAGACAACAAGGATGAAAACAAAAGGAGCAGAAACATGAACAACACTTAACGAAAACATTGCATTAGAAGCCGATTCTATCTTACGAAGAATCAATCCACTCTTACATTCTTTCTTTACAATATCCACTAACCAAACAAAATCCAAAATATATCACACATCAAGAAGAAGGGAAAATGACAACAAAAATTTAATTTAGAACTATTCATTTTAGTTTATAAAAATACACTGAGGGATAGGACTAAATGTATTTTTTTAAAGATTTTATTTATCTATTTTTCAGAGAGGGAAGGCAGGGAGAAAGAGAGAGAGAAAGAAACATCAATGTGCGGTTGCTGGGGGCCGTCGCCTGAGACCCAAGTATGTGGCCTGACTGGGAATCGAACCTGCGACACTTTGGTTCGCAGCCCGCACTCAATCCACTGAGCTACACCAGCCAGGGCTGGGACTAAATGTATTATCTGTGATGCAAATCCAGTATAGCAAAAGGGATATAAGAAAAATAATAAAAAAACATTTTCTATTTATACAAAGAAGCAAAAACAAAATTGAGTAATTGTTATATTTATTCTGACCATCAAAAAAAATGACACAAGAAAAACCTATGTATATAATATAAATTATACATACTTTATTCAATGCTATCGGAAATAGATTGGAGTATCATTTGTGTTCTAAAAAGATCAAATGTACTTAAAGACTAATGGGATTAGTCATATAAACATTCTATTTGGAATTAAATGTCATTGTGTTTTTGTGCTTTCATTTAAAAAATCCTGCCCTGACTGGCCTGTCCCAGTTGGTTGGGCATCATCCCACAAAGCAAAAGGTTGCCAGTTTGATTTCTGGTCAGGGCACATGCCTAGGTTGTACACCAGGTCCCCAGATGAAGCGTGCACGAGAGGCAACCAATGGATGTTTCTCTTTCACACTGATGTTTCTCTCCCTGTCTTTTTCTCTCCCTTCCCTCTATCTAAAAATAAATAAATAAAATCTTTAAAAAAAAATCTAAGAGGTGTTACAAGCAACCCAAAGAAAATAAAAATACTAATATCTGCCCTGTAAAAATAAGTTCTAAAGTTCATGAGAAGCATCACTGGTCTTCCGGATTATAATATTGTAATACTATTTCTATTTTGACAAATTCAGCACCATTACTGCATTTCCATGGCAGCCACAGGGTAGGGGAAGCTCAGCCCATTCAGCCCTGGTTATAATGGAGAAATACAAGGAAAAGTGCTGGGTGCTGTGCCCTTCAGACACCCATAGCACCATGTCACATGCTTGATCAGAACCCTAGAGCTGAGACACAAATAATATAACTAGCACTGTTTGATACCTGTTCAAAAAAATTCTGGAGAAGATTTATATAGAAAATCTAAAATGTGCAGACACAGTTTCTCTTTCTTCTAATTTTTCACTCAGCTTTTCTCTGGATTGGGGCAGGACCGAGTATTATGAGCATTAATAACAAAGGAAAAAGAGCTTGGTCAAATGAATCTGCTAAATAATAATGAGAGTACCTTGAATGTTTAATAAATAATCTGGATTGTGCAAAATCCATCCAGGTTAATAAAAGATTATATATGGCCATATCAATGATCTCTAACCCCAGTGAAGGAACAGTCCTACTCTTCTCCACTTGTTAAAGTGGCAACACCTCTGCCTATATCTGCACTAAAATTAAGTGAATTTAAATGGATACTTAAACTTGTTTATTAACACTCCTTGTTATAAACACTGGTAGATTTATATAAGTTGTGATTTGGAAATAACTGATACAAGATAATACAACTAAGGCAAGATTTCTGCAAAGTAGAATGCCTCTGTGATCTATACAGTCTATTTCAGGGGTGTCAAACTCATTTTCATAGGGGGTCACATCAGCCTCATGGTTGCCTTCAAAGGGTCGAATGTAATTTTAGGACTGTATAAATGTAACTACTCATTAACTAGGGGAAAGGATCTCAGCACTGTTGCTGGGAAGAAACAAGATGCAGGGCAGGATAAAACAAGGTGGAGGGCTGGATTTGACCCTCGGGCCTTGTGTTTACCACCTGTGGTCTATTTAGATCACAAATGAAGACTACTTCTAAATTAGAGATAAAGGAGAGAGATGGAAAGTCAGGACATGTACATAAAATAAAGATACAATATTCATCATTCTGTCATTTTACTTGTTTAAATGATAGCTTCTGTCCTCATGGAATTCCTCACTCCACATCCAATGATGTTTGCCAAATCTGATAGACTACTAGATAAGTGACAGGTTAACAGGTAACAGGGCTCAGTTTTGTAACACATTATGTGGAGTTATCAATTCCAGGAAATGGCAGAAGCAAGGTCAAGAGGTCAGTTAACAAATACAAGGAACAATCAAAATGGTAAGTCTGAGATGATTTCTATTAATTAAAAATTCTAGTTTAAAGGACAGCTTCATGTTCTTAATTTTATTTATTTATTTTTAAAGAGAAGGGAAGGGAGGGAGAAAGAAAGGGAGAGAAACATAGATGTGTTCTCTTGAATGCACCCAACTGGGGACCTGGCCTGCAACCCAGGCATGTGCCCAGACTAGGAACTGAACTGGGAACCTTTTGGTTTACAGGCTGGCACTCAACCCACTGAGCCACACCGGTCAGGGCTAAAGTTCTTCATTTCGTTAGACTTTATTACTTGTATTAAATATTGACTGTAAAGAATTTGTGGATCCTCATAAACTAAATCACAATCTAACAAAATCTGAGTCATTCTGAATCATATCTTATTATCATCATCAAACTAAAACTAAGCAAACAAACAAAATACTGAGTTCACCAGTATTTGTGACAGTTAATGTTATTTGTCAACTTGGCCAGGCTAGTTGTTTGGGAAAACATCAGTCTAGATGTTGCTGTGCAGGTGTTTTTTTTAGAGATGTAATTAACATTTAAATCAATAGACTTTCAGTAAAGCATATTACCTTCTACAATGTAGTAGGGCCTCATCCAACAAGCTGAAAGCCTTAAAAGAAAAGAAAGACTGACATCCCTTTGGATTCAAGACTACAACATCAATTCTTCCCTGAGTCGTCAGCCCATACACTTGCCCTGCAGACTTTAAACTTGCCAGCCAAAATAATCATATGAGCCAATTCCTTAATTTTGTGCTCTCTCTCATATATATATATATATATATATATATATATATGAACAATTTCCTATTGTTCTCATGTCTCTAGAGAACCCTAATACAGGGTCCATATTTTAAATCAATTTAAATACGTTTTATGTATGTAAAAACAAATACCCACATGACCATATCTCATTTACTTCTATGTTCTTGGCACCATTATACCATATACACGCACTAAATGATTAATGCCTGAATACATGAATAAATGAATGTCTAAATCAAACAAATAGAAAAAATTATTACCTTGTGCTGGACACATAGAAAATGCTATTCCTTTTTCTGTGTTTACTGGCATCCATTGAAAGCGAACCAAATAGTTCTGATGATTAGACAAGTTAACTGTCCCTCTAAAATATGTCTGTAACAAGAAGCCATGTGGTTTTAACACTAGCTGGTTAGAAGATAGCTCAAGTCTCACTGGCATGACAACCGCCATCACTAGGAGGTGCCCCCCAGGTATACTGTTCACTGTAAAGGTGAAAGACCTGTAACACAGCAAAGGCATCCAAATTTAACTGATAAGAGCTATTTTCAATTATAGAATTAAACTACATGTGAAAATGCATATACTATTGACTAACATCCACAAATAGTTCTTAGTAAGCAAAACATCAAACTAATCATGAAAGATAGACTATGACTGAAATAGGAGTCTATAAATACACAACTAGATACATATACAGTTTCTATGTTTGGAGATCAAATATTATATACATATATAATTACAATGAATAGGACAAATAAAAACATATTCTACAGTAAGATACTTTGATTCTAGAAAATAGAAATTTGAAAATAAATCTTACTTCCAATATTTTCCAGCAGTGGGAGAGTGAAAAATCATTGAAATGTAAGTGCTGGATGAAGGTGGAATCACATATGAAAATTGTTTGGTTTTTTGAAGTTCTTTCAAATTAACATCTAACTTGATCAAAACATGCCTTGGTAGCATATTAACAACGTGCAGTTTGTGAGTATTTATGGAGTGAACACAAATGTCACCAAAATTAAGGACAGAGGGCCCTAAAATAAAGAAAAGGTATTAAGCTTAATGTTGGTAATGTGTTCATTTTTAAAGCTTTCATTATATTTTGATCAATTAATTTATTTTTAAAAAGGTACTCAGGAAAATATTCATTATAATATCATAACAATTTAAATAATTATGCCTTATCCTGCTTTTTAACAGCTTGATTTAATGATAACCAATACATAGTAAACTCTACATGTTTACAAGTGCAGAATTTCATGTGTGTTGACATGTCTACTCCTGTGAAAAAGTCACAGTGAAGACAGTGAACATCCATCACTCCAAAAAGCTTTCTTGGGCCCCTTGATATTCTCCCTTCCCACCATCCTCTGTATTCTCTTCCCAGACACCCATCCCCAGACAGTGATCCTCTAGATCACTGTAAATTACTTTTCATTGTCTAAAGTTTTGTATGCATGGAATAATACAGCATTGTACAGTTTTTTTCTGACTTCTTTCACTCAGCAAATTCCTTGGAGATTCATTCATGTTGTTCCATGAGTCCATAGTCCATTCCTTTATATTACGAAGTAGTAGCCCATGTTAGGTGAACGTTTGTCTATTCACCTGTTGATTGACACTTGAATCGTTTCCAGGTATTGGCTATTACAATCAAAGCTGCTAAAACATTTGTGCACGAATACTTATTCAAACATATACTTTTATTTCTTTTGGATAAAAATCTGAGAATGGAATGGACAGATCACATGATACACATATGTTTAAGTGTATAAGAAACTGACAAACTATTGTAAAGTGGCTGTTTAATTTCACATTCCCACTAGCCATATGTAAAAGTTCCAGTTCCCTCACATCTTCAGCGACAACTGATATGGTGCTTTCTTTTAACTTAACCCTTTCTAATAGATTTATCTCACTGTGGTTTTATTTTGTGTTTCCCTAACAACCAACAATGTGTATCTTCCCATGTGCCTATTTGTCAGCTATAGATCTTTATTAGTGAACTGTCTGCTCAAATCCTTCACCCATTTTTAATTGGGTTGTATTCTTAAAATTAAATCTCAAAAGCTTTAAGTACATTTTGGTTGCAATTTCTTCACCAGATATATAATATATAAAAACACTTTGTCTCAGTCTATGGCTTGTTTTAACCCTCTTATTAGTATCTTTTGAAGAGCAGAATTAAAGTTGATCAATTCCAATTTATCCATTTTTTTTCTTTTTCTGGATGGTGTTTTTATATCATATCTAAAACATTTTTGCTTTCCCCATGGTCACAGATATTTTTCCTATTCTTCCTTCCACAAGGAAGCACACGGCTTATGATCTATTTCGATTTAGTTTTCATATATGATGTAAGATATAGAAAGAAACTCTGTTTTTTATTTTTTTTGGTATGTGGTTCATATGTGCCAGCACTACATATTGAAAAGACTATCTTTTCTACATACACTTCATTGCTTTTCTATCTTTGTCAAAATTCAGTTCTCCAATATGTGTAGGTCTATTTCTGAACATTCACTTATGTTTCATTGATCTATGTGTCTATATTTATGCTTACCATAGCTTTATAATTTATCTTGAAACCAACTTATTTTCCTATTTCACAGTTGTTTTGACTATAATTCTTTTGCATTTCCATGTGAATTTTATTTTTTTCTTAATTTTTAAAGAATTTTATTTATTTTTTTTTTTAGAGAGGGGAAGGGAGAGAGAATGAGAGGGAGAGAAACCTCAGTGTGTGATTGACTTTTGCATGCCCCCTACTGGGAACCTGGCCTGCAACCCAGGCATGTGCCCCTACTGGGAATCAAACAGGTGACCCTTTGGTTCTCAGATCAGCGCTCAATCCACGGAGCCACACCAGACAGAGTAGTGAATTATAAAATGAGCCTGTCAATTTCTACAAAAGATACCAATGAAATTTTGACCAGAATTATGTTGAATCTATACATCACATGGATCATTTTTTGCATATTTTCTATATCTCTATATAACCTTTTGAATATATGGAAGATAACTATAAAAACTATTTCAATGCCCTTGTCTTTCAATTTTAACATATGTATCAGTGTTGAGTAGGCTTAATTGATGAATTTTTCTGGTTATTAGAGGTCATTTTGCCTGATTCTTTTTATCCCTAGTAGTCTTTGTTTGAATGTCAGATCCAGCACATTATACCATATTAGGTGCTGGATATTTTTTGTACTCCTATAAATTTTATTATAAATTAAAAACAGAAAACATATAGAGAAAAATCAATGAAACTAAATGCCTGTTCTTTGAAATGAACGATACAATGGGTAAACCTCTACCAAGACTGAAAAAGGAAAGTAAGAAGGAAGACATAAATTTCTAATATTAAAAAGACTATATCACTATAGACGCTGCTGACCCAGACATTAAAAGGACAATTTGGGAATGCTACGAATGATTCTGTGCATATAAACATGGCATCTTAGATGAAGGGGGTCAATTCTGGGCGGAAAAATCCCAAACTACCAAAAGTCTCCTAAAATGGTGTAGATTATCTGAATAATCTTGTAACTATTAAAGAAATTGAATTTGCAATGAAATATCACCTGAAGATGAAATCTCCTTACTCAGAATTCTACTCAATCTCTTTTAGAACATAGTAGTCGAGTGACCACTTCCTAACTTTCTCAACTCAGTTTTTAGGAGGCCAACATTAACGCCAAAACAAAGACATAAAAAGAAAATCAAACAAAGCAAAAATTCAGACTGATGTATTTCATGAAAACAGATGCAAAATCATACATTGTGATTTAACAATACTACAAGGTAGAGAAAAAAGAAGTTTGCAAAAAACCTGAGTGACATACTGTAGAGAAAACTACTGATTATGAGAACAGAATGAGAAAGGAAATCAAGACAGAATGTTAGGCTAAAGAAACCTAATTTCATGTCCACTCCCTCATACTAAATATTTGAGCAATCTGATCAAGGTGTTTCACCTCATAAGTTATTTGTGTCACTTTAAGGACTAAATCTGTCATGTCTGTAAATTGTTCAACACAATGACTGGCTTATGCATCAGTAACCAGTAGCTTAAAACCAAAATGACTGGACATATACTGGGGAAGCAAATAACACCTCACGTAACTTCCAATGGAAGCCAGACTCCTATCATAGTTGTCACTAATTGACTCAGTGAATCTCCAAATCCTCTACTGTGTCTCTTGGCAACAATTTCACTTTTTAAAAATATAAACACAGAGCAAAATTTTCTTTAACTACCATATCCTTTGATAGTACCACCCCCTATTCTGTGCATAGGCTCACAAAGCACCCTCAAGGTAGAAAAATGAGAGTTACTATTAAAGTGAAACAGTAAGTGACCCCAAAATGTGCCACTTTAGCATGTGGATTATTTTGAGCTGACAGCAATTAAAACCTAGCAGACTCAAGGAAAACTTTTGCATCTCTCTCCTGACTTCCTAAAAGAACTCAGACAGGGGACCTGACTCAGAGAAAGAACTATCATCAGAGATAACTTTCATCTGAATGACCTATCTGTGTAGCTGGGCAAACATCTGCTCTTCTTGTCCCATGAATTGCCCTCCTCCCCTTTGAAGCTCCAGGCTCCTGTCCCATCCCTTAGTTCAGGATAGCATATAAGGCTCAACTGTCTGACATTTCCTTGGGTCTCATATTTTATGGTGCTCCCCTATATATGAAATCAATTTTATTTTTCTCTGGTTAATCTGTCTTATGTCAATGTGATTATTAGACCAGCCAAAGAATTCAGAAGGGTAGAAGAAGGTTTGTTTCCTCCTCTACACCTCCCTGCCAATTTCGTAAACTGCCTCCTCCATACAAGCTTCCTCCAACTGACCTTGTAGACTCAGGCAGGGGCCCCGTCCTCAGAAGACCAGTATTAAAATGCCCAGGACAGCAGGTAAAGAAGGGAGAGAAGTTGGTGGAGGAGTTATAGAAGAGGGACTGGACACTGTCTTCTAACTTTGCTCTTTTTGCATTCGTATAGATCTGTTCATTTGACTAGTTGGTCACCAATCGGGAAGATATAAAGCATTCCCCACCCAATAGTACAGGTAAATTCCTGAGACTATAATGTCCAGTACCTATCTACATGCATGGCACAAAATAGGAGCATAGTAAATGATACTTAATCAACCTCTCACTGTTTTGCCTCAGACCTTGTGCCTCTTTTGATGTCTCCATTAATCTGGATAATGTCAGAGTTGGTATTTGGTGTTTTGTGTGCTAGGTTTTCCCTAAAGAGAGAATCTGCACATCCACACCAATTCATCTCCTCGGCCCAAATTTCAGGGCCATCCTAAGCCTTTATAGCATGAAATGAGAACTCCCTTTCAGACAAATGTAATCATAACCGGTGTTTCTTTCACCATAATCATCCTGTAACAGGCTTGGTAAAAATGACCTAGGAAAGGACACACTAACATCCCTGCAAGGTTAAGGAGGAGTTGTCACTTGTTTTCAAACTCAGACTAAAAGTGTAGCTGAAATATATTGTTGGCAAGACTCTAACTTGGTGCAGTCATTTTGGAAAACTTTTTGGCAGTTTCTTTAAAGTCAGACATAAATTTACCATACAACTGAGCAATTCCACTGCTAGGAATCTAACCAAAAGAAATGAAAACATATGTCCATTCAAAGAATTATAGGTGAATATTAATAGCAGCATTATTTACAATAGCCTCAAACTGGAAACACCTCAGTGTCCATCAACTGGTACATGGATAAACAAAATGCAGTATTCTGATAAAACAGACACTATTTAGCTATGAAAAAGAACAAAAAATTTATACCTACAACTACAAGGATGAACCCCCAAAACATGAGCTATGCAAAGGAAACAATATAAGAGAGAATACATATTGTATGATTCCTTTTATATAGAATGTTCAGAATGGGAAAATCTAAAGCAAGTTGATTAATAGTTGTCTGGGGCCACAGGTGGGAATAGGGAGAGTGAATTCTAAAAATGAGTTGTGAGATGATTGCATAATCTTGTAAATTTACTAAAATTCATTGACTTAAATACTTTAAACCGGTAAATTTTGTGGAATATAAATTATACTAGAATAAATCTGTTAAGAAAGAAAGATATTAGTAGGTATTTATAAATTCTTACCAACAATTACTTGGTGAATTTGCCTTGGTGTCAACATTAAGCTGCAGTCACGTATTTCATTAGGTGTGGACGGTTTCGACTTAAGTCCTTTGAGAACCTGTGGAATATCAAATGACTCCAAAATTAATTGTTCAATATTAGCAAATGGTAATTTAAGAGTTCTCGTGGGATAATCAAATGTAAAATATTGCACATGCCTTCCTTTCTAGAGCATTTGTTTCCCTGGATTCCATATTTCTGGTACATAGCAGTTGGTGAGGTTCAGGCTCACAATCTGCTGGAGATGGGTCCTCTTCTATTTCCGATTCTGAGAGTGAGGGTGACTTTAGACCTGACTTTGGGTCTAATCTTATGTCTTCATCGTCATATGAATCCTCATCTTTCCTGTTGATATATTAGTAATAATAAATCGAGGCCATGTCTTTTGAAAAATACATCTGTAAACCCAAATATTCCCCATATTGCATGTGCTGTTGTTGCTCCACTCAGATCCACCTAAAGCAGAAGGATTCACTAATCTGCAAAATATTGCCCTCTGCCAAGGAGACTCTACTCTCAAACACCTCCCCAGAAAAGTTAGGCTCACCCCACCACACCCAGGAACAGCCCACAGCCAATGACTGCTACGGAGCAGAAAAGGCAAGCCCCTTTGGCTTAAGGCAGGGCTAACTATATATTATAATTTATGCTTAAGAGACCCTAGGCATCAGTTGCCTCCCTTGCCCTATCCTGCCTCTCTCACTCTGTACAGGTTTTTCCTAAAAGAACACTCCAAAAATCACACGTGCTGGCAGCCTTGTCTTAGGATCTGCTTCTGGGGAAACTCACCTAAGACATTCCCAAATCGAAGGCAAGAGAAAAATAAGTCATTGCAGTTAAAGTAGTTTAAGGTTTTACTATTTTCATGTATGAAAAAGTCACTGAAATCATTAAAAAGAAAATAAGCAGTGAAGGAAAAAAATCTGGTTCCAGAGGCACCATTATCTCTGTTTCCTATTGCTTGAGGAAGTGAACTTTACCTTTCTCCTTGTTTCTGCAGGCGCCTATTTCTTAAATAATCAATGTATTTTTTATAATAGTCCTCATTTGCTTTCTTTTTTAAGATTTCAGAATTAGTATATGTATATTCAGGATCCACATAGCTCAGTCTTGGTCTCATTGTGGAAATTTTCCTACAATATGAGTAAGCCATGTTAATATTTACATATATGCATTTATCCATCAGTATTTATTGATTGCCAACTATGCCAGGGATTGGGCATAGCATGGTGCCCAGGACAGATTCTAGTCTTGTTCCTCATATTCTATTATATATCAAGACATTATTACACAAAGAACTAAAACAGTATCTACTTTCCTTCTTAACTAAATCAGAGAGAATGCCTAATGTCATGGAAACATAATGGCCTCTACCCTGAACCCACTCTTAGGGAATTAGTCATGTAAACAATTTGTGTCTAAATCTTATTAGTGTTATAATTCATATTTACTAACTGGGTTCATGATCTTTCTTTTCACCCACCATGTATTCACATCTGACCTTGATCTACCTCAATCCTCAGCAAATTTCATCAATCACAAGAGTTTCACCCTCAATAATTAACTCATTAAGTATGTACTTATTATAGCAGTCTACCTTTATCCACAGTTTCACTTTTCACAGTTTCAGTTAACCACAGTCTGAAAATATGAAATGGAAAATTCTAGATATAAACAATTCATAAGTTTTAAATTTGGGGACATTCTGAGTAATGCAATGAAATCTCACACCTTCCCACTCCGTGATGCCCTGGAAGTGAACCATGCATTTGTCTAGTGTATCCATGCTGGATATACTCCCCACCTGTCACAGTATAAATTTCTCGGTTATCAGATTGGTTGAGAAGAGAGAGGGAGATGGCGGGAATGGGGTTATGGAGAGGAGAGAAGGAAGGAACATTCATATAACATATTACAGTATAATTATAATTGTTCTATTGTTATAGCTGTTAATCTTTTACTATGTTCTTATAAATTGAACTTTATCATTGGTATGTATGTATGTATAGGAAAAAGTATAGCATATATAGAGTTTAGTGCTATCCGCAGTCTCAGGCATCCACTAGAAAGGTCTTAGAATGCATGTCCCATGGACATGGGGTAACTACTATGGTTATACAGTCAAATGAAATTTAATCTAACATTTCTCCCTGTTTTCAACAATGCCTCAATGGTTATAGTGAAACAGCTTTAAATTAAAGTCTGTAAGAGAATAAGGTATTAAAAGAGAAACAAATGCTTTGTTATTCAAAGATGGTTGATTTTTTTTGTTTTGACCCTTAATAGTGTGAAGTTTATTTTGCTGTCTTCCTGGAAGCCTCAAAAAAGAATCTTTTATACTTAAATTTTAGTTGATATTTAAATTTCTCCTTGGCTCTGTTAACTTAAGCCACCTTCAGAACCTAGAAATAACTCCTTTTTGCAAAGTTATGTCTGCAACAAGAAGAAAAAGAGGGACTTAAAAAGGGAACAATAGTTCCCCCTTATCCACAGGGGATTCACTATTACAGTAAATGCCTGAAGTGACAAAAGTTGGCTATTAACAAACCTAAGTGCTTATCAGCTCCTTAAAAACTGAACTTCAACAAATACCTCTGCAGCTTTGAGGAGGTAATTTTTTTTTAATGTGCAAAGTACAGGGGACAAAAATTACTATGTAAATAAAACATTGTAACTCATTTATTTATTACAAAATACACACTGAGTGCCTACTATATACCTGACACTGTTCTAAACACAGAACACACTGCAGTAAACAAAAACTGGACAGAAATTGATACTGTATTTTCTTCTGAAAATTTGGAAAGGCAAAAATGCATTAAAAATAAAATTGCAATAATCATTACCAACAATTTAATGTACTGCAAAAATGCCATTACTTAAATTACTAATTGCTAGCCAGAAAATAATTACTAAATTTTGTATTTTTAGGAGTATAGAAAAGAATGAATTGAAAAAAATAATTATGGCCATAGAATAAATAGGAAATACTTAGGCATCTTCAAAGACATTGTGGTATTTTTAGATAATCTACTTAATATTGATTTAGACAGAAATAAAATATTAACATTAAATTCACACATTATATTTCTATATAGGTATACTTAAGCATAGGAAAGAATTCTAAAGGACACATTAAAACATTGTTTGCAGCTGCCCCTGCAGAGGGGATGGACTACAATGAGTCAGATGTAGGAAGGGGTTTTATTCTATATATTTATTTAAAATGGAATCTGAGTGATTTTTATGCATCTGTGTTTTATGGTACTTGCCAAATAAAAAAGAGAAACAGAAAGCCTGTTCTGGTTGAGATTGTAAAACAATATGATAAAATAGATTTTATAACAACCCAGAATTTTCTGATTGTGAATAATAAAGCAATTATGGCCTAGAAATCAAATGGAATTGCTATAAAATTAAGTGAGCTTACTGCCTCACCAAAGGTAAAGAGACAAGTACAGAAGGCCCAGGGAGGTACATTGTCCACCCATAGCACATAAACAGATAGAAAAGAAACCCATTTCAGTCTCAAACATCTAAAAACCATTTCTAATCTAGTGGCCTAGGTAAAGGTGTCAGAATGCCTGGGTTTCTTCTAAGTAGTGATAAAGAAGTGACTTAGTTGAGATTTGAATAAATGTAAGTTGAGGTTTAACATCACATATAATCCTAATCAGAGAAGTTTTAGTTCAAATTGGGAAAGATTATTGGAAACCTGACTTTGAAGGTATGGAACAAAGATGATGATGATGATGATGACGACGACAACGACTGGTTTTACACAATTTTAAATGTTTTTTTTTAATATTAGATAAATTCAAGCTCTCAGACAAACTTAATGAATGTAACTACTGTGAGGACTTGATACATTTCCTAAAGTGATTATTTCTATTACTATTCTATAATTGTCAACAGCATATTGTAAACAATCTGGTATAGCTTTCACTTGCTAGTAAGTACAGAGTAGAGGTGATGAAAGGTTAGATAAAGCACATACAGTAGCATTCAACAACCATATCTAATGTAAAAAAATAGAAATAATAAATTTTATTACTATCATTATTACCATTATTAGTTTGTGACATCAGTATACAGTAAGACCTGTTTATATTATGTTGATCACTGACTCTTTCAAAATTTCAGGTCTTTAATATAGCATGTTACCTGAACTGTTTATCCTGCTTTCTGGGCCTGATACTTGCAGCTTGCTCATTGGGAAAGGGTATCTGCGCCACCTTCACGGACTCTGTACTCAAGTGATGACTCTGAATGGTTGTCTTGGCCGATGGAAGTATTGCAAGAGGTGCACATTCCTTGCTTCTTACCAAATCTTTGACCATAGTCTGTTCTGTAGAATTACTGGTCGAAGGGGGTATGCCTTTTATAGAATTAGATACTAAGTTAAAATGTTTTTTTTTAATTCCAGTTTTCCACATTACATCCATGAGTTAATTAATACATTACACCATTGGTTCTAAATTAAAGCTAAATCCCTAAATAAACAAACACATTCAGAAAATATAAATCATTCATTTAATAAACGGATCTACAGAAAAAATATAGCAAAATAATAAATGCATAAAAAATAAACATAGTAACTTGAAGGATTGGGTTGGCCTACATGAAACAAATTTGTATAGGTTAAAGAGAGTTGAATATCAGCAACTTCATATGGCTCAATTTATAAAAGATAACTGAGGATTAGATGAAACAACATCCCTGACTGGTGTGGCTCAGTTGGTTGGGCATCATCCAGCAAAGGGAAAGGTCACAGGTTTGATTCCTGGTCAGGGCACATGCCTGAGTTGCAGGTTCAGTCCCTGGTCAGGGAGTGTGAGGGAGACAACGAATCAATGTTTCTCTCTCACATCGATGTTTCTTTCCCTCTCTTTCTCCCTCCATTCCCTTCTCTCTAAAAATAAATAAATAAAATCTTTTTTAAAAAAGAAGAAACAAAGCAACAAAAATATCCATGAAACAGTCAAAACCAGCTTATATTATATAATAAAACAAAAAAGTAGAATAATATAGAAAAGCTTCTGAAATATTCAGTAGATGTTATAGACCACTAAACCAGTGTATTCAGAGTATGATACTCAAAATAGCAACATCAGCATTTACTGGGAACATATTAGAAATGCCAATCTTTGGGCTCTAATAATGACCTACTTAATAGTCAATGCTGGGATGTAGACCAGCAATATCTATTTTAACAGACCTTTCAGGTGATTTTGAGGCATTCAAAAGGTAAGAACCACCAGATTAGACCATATTTAATATATATATAGGTGAGTAATTAGCATGTTAAGATAATCCTATATTAACATTAAAAAAAAGTAAGGGTCCACAATAGCTTACCAGGATTAATTTTCATCGCAATATGCTTGGTGGAAGCTTTGCAGGTGCTCTTGAATATTAAATATATTTGATGAAAAGGCTTTAGTGATAAAGAATGACAACTTTTATCTGCCACTGGGCCAATAAACTCTATGAATTGCTTCACTTTAAAGACTCCATACTGATGTGGAATGAATGAGCATATCACTTTCTTAAAAAAAAAAAAAACAGAAAGAGAAAGAAAAGTAACTAGCTGTTATAGGCTCAATGTTTGTGAAACTCCAAAACTCATATGTTTAAACCTAATGCCCAGTGTGATAGAATTAGAAGATGAGGACTTTGTGATGGGATAGGTCAAGAGAACAGAGCTTTCCTGAGTGAAATTAGTGCTCTTCCAAAAGAGGCCCCACAGGGCTCACTAGCCCCTCCCACCATGTGAGGATACATGGTCTACAACCAGGAAGAGAGCCTTCACCTGACCACATTGTCACCCTGATCTGGGACTTTCAGCCTCCAGAACTGTGAGAAATACCTGTGTTGTTTATAAACTACACAGTATAAGATACTTTGTTGCAACATCCCAAATGGCTTAAGAAAACAATACTGTACTATTAGAAAAAATTAAAGACAATTACAAAAAAATGTTTATAAAATTATAAAAAGACCTAGTTCATCATGATGATATTAAAGTGCTTTAGGAATATCATATACAGTATTGAAAAACCTTTATGATACATATTATTGGAAAATTATTTAAGGAAATTAAGTACAATGGAAGTACTTAAGCACTTCCAAAATGGCAGATTACAGATCTCTAGAATTCTATTCCTTTACAAACAGAAAAAGACCACTAAAATAAAGGTCAAAATCAACTTCTCAAAAATCAATATTTGAAAATTACCCAAAACTTTGCAAAAATTCAAGGAGTATATGTTTAAGAAAAAATAGTAAATGGTTTTGTGGTGTTTTTACTTACTACAATCCTTCTATTCCCAGTTTTGTGCTCTTCTTGAAAAACAATAGCCTTGCAACTATGGTAGCTGTGAAAACTGTTAGAAAACTGTTAGCTTAGCCACCACTGAGGGAGAATAACTGGTTTGGGCCTCTCCAAAAAGCCATCCCCAGAGAACTGTCCCTATTTGTCCTATCTGGAAGCTAGCTGACAAGTCTATTATGAGGGCATGCCTTTAATTGACCTGACTGAGAACTCATTCTGTGTGAACAACTTTCTTCCCAAAGTTTTGCCCTCCAACCACAAATAAATCAGTGGTAATTGTTGAACATTACAGCATTACCATTTAAGGCTAACAAGAGGCTAAACAGACAAGGAAGGAAGGAAGGAAGGAAGGAAGGAAGGAAGGAAGGGAGGAAGGAAGGGAGGGAGGGAGGGAGGGAGGGAGGGAGGGAGGGAGGGAGGGAGGGAGGGAAAAGAAAAGGGGGAAAAAGCACAAAATGAATTATTCACAGGGTATTTGAAAAGCTCTGACATATTCCTGGTAATCTTGACTGCAACACACATGTGCAGAACAGTGTACCTGCCCTGGAAATTTTCAGAAGGCTCTAATTCCTCACCTCTAGCTGACTTTGAAACCCAGTACAAGGAGGAACCTAAGGTCAGCAGGACGGAGGAACTAAGTGACAAAACAGTGAAAACATTCCCCACCCAACACACTTAGAGGCTCTTGGCAAAGGCTATGTCATTTATTGACACAAAGATTGTAAGAGAACCTCTGCCCAATCATAAGCTAACCTCTAAATCAACTCAGGATATACCTGATTGGCTGCACACAACAAAGAAAACAACCTTTACAGAATTACCCAAGAAAGTCACTAAACAAACAAAACAACAACAAAAAACAGCAAGGACAGTAAATCCTGGGGGCTGATTTCCAAAGCTGCCAAATTATATCATTTACAATGCTTACATTTCAACAAAGGAATCATAGGACACCCAGAGAAACAGGAAAGTATAGCCAACAGGAAAGATGTAATAAATAGAAACTGTGCCTGAGGAAACCCAAACCTTGGACTTAGTGACAAAGACGGTAAGTCGACTATTATAAATACATTCAAAGGACTATATGAAAACATGTCTAAAAAATTCAAAGAAGACACCAAAGGAAAGACAATAAAAATAAAATAAACAAGGAGGGCTATATCAAACTAAAAAGTTTCTACACAGCAAAAGAAACCATCAACAACAACAAAAAAGGCAACCTATTGAATGGGAGAAAGTAATGGCAAATCTTACATCTGAGAAGGGGCTAATATCCAAAATAAATAAAGAACTCACACAACTCAATAGTAAAAAAAGAACTACAATTTTAAAAATAGGCAGAATATCTAAATAGACATTGTCCCAAAGAAGACATGCAGATGGTCAACAGATACATGAAATGGTGCTCATCACTAATCATCAGGGAAATACAAATCAAAAACACAATGAGATATCACCTCACACCTATTACAATGGCTATCATCAAAAACATTAGTAATAACAAGTGTTGGCAAGGATGTACAGAAAAAGGAACCCTTATGCACTGTTGGTGGGAATATAAATTGGTGCATTCACTATGAAAAACAGTTTGGATGTTTCTCAAAAAATTAAAAATATAACTACCATATGATACAGCAATTCCAATTCTGGGTATTTATCTGAAGAAAATAAGCACACTAATTTGAGAAGATATATACACCTACACGTTCACTGCACCATTATTTATAATTGCCAACACATGAAAACAACGTGCCCACCAACATGGATAAAAAAAACATGGAATATTATTCAGATGTAAAAAGAAGGGAATCTTGCCATTTGTGACAATGTGCATGGACTTTGATGGCATTATTCTAAGTGAAATAAGTCAGAGAAAAATAGATAGCCTATGATTTCCCTTATATGTGGAATCTTCAAACAAATGAGCTCATACATACAGAGAACAGGTTACTGGTGGTTGCCAGAGACAAAGGGTGGAGGGTGAAGGATGGTGGGCAGAATGGGTGAAAGGGTTCCAAAGGTACAAATTTGCAGTTATAAAAAAAGCAAGTCATGGGGATGTAATGTGCAATATGGTGACTATAGTTAGTAATAGTGTATGGCATATTGGAAAGTTGCTAAAAATGTAAATTTTAAAAGTTATCATCACAAGAAAAGAAATTTTTCTTTCCATAACAGCCTCTGAAGAACTGGGGGAGGGAAGAGGTAGGGGACATCTAAAAGGCTCAGAAACTTACCTCTTCAGCAAGTACTCAGACCATTTGCCCCATATCACCTCCTTTCACAGGAGGGCAAGGCCTGGGCCCCCCAAAGGCAAAACTACCACAAACTCTCACTCCTGTCTTGGGTTAGCTGGCACTGGGGCCGGCACCTGGGCTCCAGTCTCTACTCATGGCACTGGACCTTTACTTTTGCCACACGTATGTACCCCAGCTTAGCCAACCTTCAGTCTGGCAGTGGAATCCAAAGAATCGTGCACTCCCCTAGGTGTCTCTGGGACTGGGATGAGTGCCTGGCTCCACCTCCGTTTCACCTTTTGCTACTGTTGGCAGCTGCTGGCCCAGGGGCATCCCATGGCTCAGACAAGGGCTGCAGGACCCATTCTTGCACCCACCCATGCAGGGAGTGCCAAGACTCCGTGCTGGATATTTAAGCTTAGGGGCCAACCTCTTGGGCACTAGATAAAGTAAATACTCTCTGAAAAAAAAAACTATTTTAAAAGCTGTAACTGTTTTTTGTACTTCTTTACATTTCCTATAGTGTCAAAAACTTTTCTGGGCACATGAAAAGCACTTAACAAATAATTATGGATACTGTGTGACTGCCACTACAAAAGTATTCATAACTAGGCCACAGAAGAGCTAGGATTTAGAAACACTGGTACAACAAATGTAGTTGTTAATCCTCTGCAAGGCATTTTAGCAAACCCTAAAATATGTACAGTGTGCGAAAGCATAGAAAAATTATCTTACCTGCATACATCTTTCACCAAGCTTGCCCCTTTCAGGGTCAATTCTAAAATTTGCAATTTTTTTAAAGTGGTATATCACAGGAAGTAATTTGCTGCGATTTTCCATAATAAATGCAACCTCTGACCGTTCACCCATGGAACAAGGTGCAAAATTAAGAATGGTTCCTAAATCAAACTGTAGTACAACAGGAAGTCCTGAGCCTGTTATTGCTAATTCCACTTTCTCAAATCGATCAGCTGTTAAAAAGAAAAAGTAGCTTTTTAACATAGAAAGTGTTTTTGGGAATCCAAGATATATTTCCTTAGTCTGAAACATGTCATCTGAAAGACTTGATGAGCTGTGGGTAGCTCATTCGATCTTTCATTCAACAAAAACAGTGCGATCTTTCATTCAACAAAAACAGTGCGTGCTTTCTCAGGGCCACGTACTCTTCTAGGCCTTGGGGTAATGGCAGTGAGTACAATAGACAATGTTCCTGCTCTCATTGACTTTACATTCCAGTGAGGTGACATTGGTAACAAAATAAATAAGTAAATGTATGGCATTTCAGAGATGATAAGTTCTATGGGGAAAGGTAATGTAGGGTGCAGAATTTGTCACCCCTAAATAAGCCTCTTTGGCATAAGGGTCATTATTTTAGAAACAGCAGACACGGGGGGGCTCTGAAACCTGGAAGTTGACCTTTGAAAAGGACATTTACATTTAAAAGGGAAATATCCTTTTGTCTCCTTCTCTGCATCCAGAAGGAAATCTCATCAATGGAGATAGCAGAGGCTTGAATGTGCATAACCTTACCCTCCTTTACTGGGCTCTGCTGGAGAAGCTCCCATAATGGCTCCCCACCCCCAACATCTTCTTTAGTCTTCAGCTAGAGATGGTATTTAAGGTGATGGCTTGGGCATTTTGAAGAGTTACTCAGTTTTCCTGGATATCTCCCATGTATGCTGGAAATACACAATATTAAACCTCTGTTTGTTTTTCACCTGTGATCTGTCTTTTATTATAAGGGGCCTCAACCAAGGACTTAGAAGAGTAGAAGGAAAATTATTTTTCCTCCCCTACAATGGTAAGACAGAGCACATTATCTTTGGGCTACTCTTTATATGGGGAAGTCCAAAATGGTGTCTCTGCTGGGGAGATATTTGAGCAAAATTATAGAGGAACTCTGGAAGAAAATCTAGTAAAAGTGCATTCCAGATAGAACAGCAAGGACAAGGACTGTAAGGCAGGCATTTGCTTGGCACGTCTCAAAAATCTGAAGGAAGCAAATATGTCTGGGTAACAGTAGTAGAAGGATAGTGAGAAATGGTCAGATCTAAGATATATTTTTGAGGGTAAAGTTAATAAAATTTGCTGATGGATTGCATGTAGAATAGGAAATAAAACACATAATCAGCCCTGGCTGGTGTGGCTTAGCAGATTGAGTGCCAGTCTGCGAACCAAAGGGTCACCAGTTCAATACCCAGTCAGGCACATGCCTGGGTTGCAGTCCAGGTCCCCAGTAGGGGTTGCACAAGAGGTAACCACACATTGATGTTTCTCTCCCTCTCTCTCTTCCTCCCTTCCCTTCTCTCCAAAAATAAATAAATAAAATCTTTTAAAAAGTGCATGGTGCTTTAAAAAAAAACGCATAATCAATGATGATGTTAAGGTTTCTGGCCTGAGCAACTGAAGTGAAGGAACTGCCACTTCTTGAGACAGGAAGGAATGCAGGAGGGACAGCTTCTGGGGAAGCCATGAGTCTTGTTTTGGACATGTGAAGTTTGAGATGTCTAGTAGATATCCAAATGAAAATGTCTACTAGGTCACTTAATGTATTTACAAGTTTAGAGTTAAGATGAAGGAGGGAATTTTGAAGGTTTGAAGTGAAAATGGAAGGTATGTGATGTTAATCTCATATTGTGAGGATGTGAATAAACACAGGAATGCAGCAGAGATGGTAAACAGCTTAAACCAACCTCTTGGGGTTAGTGGTTATAGATTAAAAAGTGAAACCTCACAGAATGATTTTGTATCACAATTAGCTTCCCAGGTACAGACACAGAGTAGGCTGAGATTAGAGATTTTCCACGTAGTCACTCAGGAGATGGGTCAAGATATTTAACTGTACATGGAAAAAGATGGCTAAAATAATGAACAGTGGAAATATAAACTGGGTAATAACAAAAACATTAACTTTTGGAGTTACTAGAAAGAAGATAGGGCCTATGGATTGTATATTATAATTGGGAGAAAGAACAATTTTGCAGAGAGAGCAATGTAACTACAATCTAAAAAAAAAAGGTTTATATTTCTGCACTGATGCTCTTACTAGCCAATCCTAGACTCTACCTTTACAGCAAAGCTAGCATCTCCATGTCTAGCCTTTCAAAACTAGATTAAGTTGCTCTGGCTGGCATCACTCAGTGGATTGAGCACGGGCTGCGAACCAAATGGTCACCAGTTTGATTCCCACTCAGGACACATGCCTGGGTTGCGGACCAGGTCCCCAGTAGGGGGCACTCAAGAGACAACCACACATTGATGTTTTTCTCCCTCTCTTCCCATCTCTCTAAAAATAAATAAAATATTTTTTAAAAACTAGATTAACTTGCAATCCTTGAACAAATGTTCTATCAGACAGAGCTCAGAGCTCAGTATCACAAACCATGAGATAAATAGTGACAGCAATCAATTCCTGCCCTACGAAGACAGTTCAACCCTGCTCAATAATCTACAGTGGGAGGCAAAAGTAAGTTTACAGTTGTCTGTATATGAAATACAATAATTAATAAATAATAGTACAAGAATAAAGTTTGTTTTTCATATTCACAACTATAAACCTACTGCTACCCCCACCCTGTATGTCACTGTACTGACATGCAAATCTTTTAGATTCTTGACCTGCCGTGACTCAACTTTCTGGATTTGATCCCTCACCTGCCTATATCGTTTTTTTTTCCTTCTGATTTCTCTTGTTAAGCTGACCTCCAAGTCTTGTTCCATTTTTGCTCACTGTGGCCCATTCAGTATTACCCGAGAATGTAAAAAATGCAATGCATCTTGACATGCGGCCTGCAAAGCACATGCACTTATCAATATCCTGTAACAGAATATTGTACCCTATTTACCAGAGCACTAGATGTTGTTCTTTCACTATTACTGTATATCGATTCTGAGAGCTAAGGATCTGGTAGAGATGGAATGGGTCATTTTTTTCCCACATGAAGCTCTAAGAGACAATCTAGGATTGTAAGAGGCTGAGAAGCCCCAAAACCCCCACTAATATGGCTGGGGAAAGGAGAAGCAGAGCAAGGCCACTGAGAGTTACTTTGCATATCTAAAGAACTTGGCCAGTGTTTTAGTAATGCTTATAACCTGTGCCTGCCACACTCAGGGCCAGGGAGATGGGCGTGACTCTAACCCGTGATGCAGCCAGGAGGTGGTCCCCAGGCTACAGTGCCTGCTGGGGAGTAGGAAGGCAGTCATGGGGCAATGCCTGCCCAGACTAACAATGGCAGCTGAGAAAGGCAGGAGAAACCAGAGTAAGGGCAGTTGTAACCCTCCGTGGGAGGAGTCGGAAATGGGGTTATGGAGGAGGAGCAGGGTGAGGATTTAAACTCAAGCGTGGGGCAGCCATGAGGTGTTGGCCAGGCAGTATGAAAGGATGCAGGAGGACTCTCACCCGCCCACCATGAGGAGGGGGCCACATGGTTTTGGATTAAGAGCGGGAGCCTAGCCCAGCACAGATGACTGGGAAAAGCCAGAATGTTAAAACGAGAATTTGCCTAGGCAAGCTACAAACTTATATTTCTTTTCCTGAGAGACAGTACCTCTGACTGGCCTGGTTTGGCAAGGGGAGGCAGGACTCTGTGTTTATGAGTGTTTAGTTTTAAGAGACCTTAGGACTTAAAAACAGAATTCTGCTATTATTCTGAACCTGTATAACTTTTGAATAAATAGGTCCTTTCCTTTTAATAAGGTTCTGCCATTGGGAGTCACAGTTTCTTTGGCAGCAGGCAGTAGAACCCAGTGGTTCTATTACAGGATTACATAGGAAAAGACGCCAGATTGGGGTTTTTTCTGTTGTTGTTCTTTCACTCTTTAAACTATGATCAGCAATTTTCAACCTTTTTGATCTCATGGCACACGTAAACTAACTACTAAAATTTTATAGCACACCAAAAAATATGTATTTTGCCAACCTGGCAAAAAAAGATAGATATAATTGTTATTCATGCACACTGGCCAGCTATTGTGTCGGCTTTTGTCATTTTTTTACTTGACAATCTAAAGGAAAAGAGGTCAGTGCCCCTGACTAAACAGTCAGGTATAGCATGTTTTAAGAATTCTTCTGGGACACTGGTTGAAAATCACTGCTCTAGATCTTATTTATCTAATGTCATTTTAAAATAATAAAGTCTCCCAAATTATAATTGGAAGATTACTATGTAAGGGATTCTGAGGTTGATTTTTCTCTTTACATACCACAAAACACAGTTTAAGTTCCCTTCATTATGTTTGCATTTTCATTCTATTCAATAAATTGTGTATTTTTATTATATTGCCTCTACAAATATTGATGTCCAAACTTTTAAACAATTTAAACTGCTACACATTTGATGATTATACTCATTTCACACTTACTTTTGTTGGCTTTAGTGTTATCATCTCTCAAAAACCCATCCTTACTTCCTACAGTGTCAAATCTCAAAAAGACGGCATAGTCTTGCCTGTGTGCAGGATCATCATCCATTCTGTTATCGCCTGTTATCCTGTAAAAAATTACAATCAGTAATATTTGCAGCAAAGATAATACACTTTGTTACCTCTCACAAGGGAATATCACCTGAACCCTTAAATCTATGCAAACAGATGAAAGTTCAGGAATAAAAATATGATTGTGATCAATTTTCCAGTATTACAGTACAGACATTGAGACTTGCCAAAAGAAGGACACAGCATGTAAATATACAAAAAAAAATGAGTTCATGCCAACATTTGCAAGGCAAGAGTTATTTAAAAACACTAAGTCATCAAGGTTGAATTCCAATGCCACTTTTTATGTGAAGTCCTTTTTTTTTGTTGTTGTATGCAGAGTTCATTGCTGGCTAAGCACTCTGTTTGATTCTCTTAAATAGTCCTCCTTACCCCTGGGTGTAATTGCAAACCTCTGTTACATAACTGATCCTCCTGTAGACTAAGCACATATTGTTAGCCGCACTCTTGTTAGAAGACAACAGGTAATTTGGAGAACAGGCAAGGAAAGATGGGAGGAAGAGAAGCAGGACCAAAGACAGAGATGGGTTCCCTCACAGGTCTGCACACTGGCAGGTCTTCACTTACCTTAACTAAAGGTCAGCTTTTCTAGCAGTGGATACCTCAAATACATACACAAAAGGCTGATGGGAAATATTACATAAGAATGCAAATATAATGTTGAGAACACATGCAACTACAATGTCAAATCATACTCATATCTATGAGTTTATGCTAGACTTTCAAAGTGACCATGCTGCCATTAAAAAAATAAGTTCTTAGAATTTCAAAGATTGTGTATTGGACAGAATCCTATAGATTCACCAAAGAAATTTCCTGTGTGAAGTTATAATGAATAAGGCAAGTACAGATTGTACAAATACAATAATTACTTGATGTATTCCCCTCCTTAACCCAACTCGGTTTCCAGCAAACAACTGATACTGCCAAGGGACCCTATAACCATAAAAAGAAGGACATTAACCCTTCAGAATTCTCACAAATAAGGGTTAACATACTTAACAATTAGATGAGTTATCACCACACACTACAACCACTCCAGTGCAGTTGAAATTGCTACTACATACTTAAAAATGGCATTTCCAAATACCTTTTCAAACTAAATAACCAAACCAAGGACTTGGAATTGTGAAAACTATCCACTGGCAAAAGTCCTCATAGTCTGTATAAATTTCAACAACCAACTGTGGTTGATCCCAGCAATTGCTATAAGGCTTAAAATTCATGATACTCAGCCAGAAAGCACTTTTTCCCTGGTGGAGGCATCGTATCTTCTGTGGAGGCACCTAGAACATCCTGCTGACACTGGCTACTTCTGCCGGGACTACAAGGTCTTCGGTGCGCAGATTGCTTTGGAGCCACAATCCAAAACCACCTCCAACTTCCACTTCCACCACCCCATGCCCCCAAGGCCTGCAGAAATTTTTAATTTAACATGAAGTATTTAGAACCATATCTTTAAATATTGGCAATATTATTAAGCATGTTAGAAATACTTAGAACTGTAATAAGAAAAAGACAATTTGTCCCTTCTGACAAGTTTTAATATTAAAGTCAATCTAATGAATGCATGGCTAATATATTTTTCATTAATAAGTAACATCTCAGTGGGATTAATTTTTGCTTACTTTGGGCTGAAACAAAATGTAATTTTAATCTTTTGATAAGGCAGTAAAGTCCCGTCATTAGGAAAACAGGAGATAAAAGTGGTAACATCTATGTTCTTTATTTGTCTGAAGTAGGTGAGATTATGTATAGCAACATCTGTTCTTTGTTGAGTATTTGTACCCTGCAATATAAAATCAGAAATAAAAGAGTATTAAGGCAAAACACAAAGTAAAATGTTTTTAAGAGGTCATAAACTAATTATAGAAATTCCAGCAACCAGAAGATAGAGAACACATGTGTCTTTAAAATACCATACATAAATCTGAACAAGGAACATCATAAAATTTAAAGAACTTTCAAGAAACTGATGAGGTCAGAAACCCCCCCAATCAGTCGCTGATTTATAAGAAACACTTGTCTGATTGACTTCAGCTATACTACTATCAATGTTAGTTTAATTTGCTGAACTTTTTCAGGTTACTCTTGAAGTCACATGAAATGAAGTCTTAACTATTTGCATGTTAAAACATCTTTAGAATAATGAAACAAACAGCTTGTTGGGAAGATGGATTTGAGAATTAGTTTTCCCATCTTTTCAAACTAAGCCTTCTTGATCAGCAAACCTTTCCTGGCTCTAAAAAATGGAAAGAAAAGAAGACAAGGGAAGGGAAGGGGAAGGGAGGGGCACGGGAGAGGGAAGGGAAAAGAGGGGATGGCAGGGGAGGGAAGAGAAAAGATAAGACCAGCTTTCTGTTATTAATAAGTTCAAAACAAGCTGCTTCAAAACATAATACTTGATCTTCTGTTGCACTATTTACTTACCAATTCTTCTCCAACAGAATCATTTTGTATTACAGCCACCCAATTTACAGATTCTGGGCTATTATTGTATAGAAGTGCATGCTCAATCTTTGATGTTCCAAAGTAAATACAGCCAAAACGTATGCATTCCACCTTTGTATTATCATTTATGTTTAATAGTTCAATAATCTGTTCAACCACATGAACTTTGATATTCACGAGCATGGGTGGACGACCTTGCAATCTCACTCTACAAGATAACGAATATAAATATATATATATATACATTCAATTAGAATTCTATATACTTCATTTTTGTCCTAAATATTTATATAAATAGAACTTTTATAAAAACCAATTATAATTAAAATTCAAAGGCCTAAGAGCAGTTCCTTTCACATTCATGCCAGAGACCATCAGGCCCTCTGTCTGAATCTGCACAGCTGACATATGTGCAATCAGCTCTGGCTGGTGTGGCTCAGTGGACTGAGCACTGGGCTGCAAACCAAAAAGTTCCTGGTTTGAATCACAGTCAGGGAACATGCCTGGGTTGTGGGCTAGGTCCCATTTGGGGGCACGTAGGAGGCAGCTGATCCATGTGTCTTCAGCACATTCCTCTCTTTCTCCTTCCCTTCCCCTTTCTCTAAAAGTAAATGAATAAAATCTTTTTAAAAATGACATGTGCAAACTAATTCATTATCTCCAGGAGACATTAAAGTTGGGAAACGATAGCATGAATTAATCCCAAAAAGAACTTATTGGTATGTCCATAGCACCAATTATTTTGTAAATACCAGAGTTACCACTAGTTCTAGAATTCTGAGATTCTTTTTTAACTCATTCTACTCCCCCAAGTCAAACAGCCAACAAGGTACAAATTGGGAGTATGGTGTCATCCCCTTCCTAACAAGTCAATTCCCTACAAAATAAAGGATCTCAGCAAAATCCCACTCTTTGCTGAAATGAATATACCCCATAAAACTTCACTTCCTAGACTAATTTGAATGCCCTGTTGAAACTGGCCCCCACCCCAAATTCATCTTTCTCTGGCCTAAATGCAGTCCTTTTGAATTTCATCCCATCAGATACTGCAGACAACTGACCACTCCAAAACCTAGGCCACTACACTCTATCTCTGCCACAGTGAACATAATTCACACCATCTCTTAGCATATCCCTCCTTCCTTATCTTCCTTGACACCATACTTTCCTGGTTTTCCTCTAACTTATTCAGACTCTATGTTCTCATTCTTCTAGAACTTAAATATTTTGTAAACTCCATGACTAATGGCATTTCTCTCCTACTCTCTCATACTCTGCCCTCCTGAAAGTTATTTTCGATACCTCATGCTTCATCGAAAATTTATCCACTGACAAACTTTGACCCCATGTACCAAGACCAAAACTTTTTCTGGGACTCAAGATAAGTAAATCTAACAGGCTAACAGGCCCCACAGTATTCTGCAAAGCAAATCGATTCCAACCATTCAAAACTGAACTCAGATCTTCTCCCACAGACCTGCCCCTTCTCTCTTCTCTTTCTATAACCAGTCACTAAATCTAGTCAAATTTACCTCCATAACATACCTCTAACCTGCAGAATTCTCTCCACACTCCCAATTTGTACCTTAGCTGATGCATTTATCATTTTTCTTTTGCTTCATTATTATAGATTCTAGTCAGGCAATCCATTCCACATCTGTACTGCCTGATTTGTTTTGCACAATGGTTTTAGCTTGACCTTTCTAAAATGTAAACTAATTAAGACACCTTCTTGAGATTCCACAGCCTTCGCAATAAAACCTAAGCTCCTATCAGGGCTCACAGCTCTTTCTCAAATATTTTTTTGGCTGTGACCTTCAGTAAAAAATATATTTTATATTTAATGTAGGAGCACAGGCATGAACATAAAGTTTTATAAATCAGCATTTGCCCTTACTAGGTGAAATGCATTTTGATATTTTCCATTTCATTGTTTTAAAACTGGTAGTGCCCCCTTATAGTGATTGCAAACCCCACTAATGAACTGAGACATGCAGCATTAAATAACGCTGCCCTATGAGGTCCCTTACTGGACCCTGCACCTGGTTTTCCTGGTCTCATTTCACATCACTCCTTACCTGCATTTCTTTGCTTCTACATAACTTTTGATCTCCCTGTGTGTAACACTGTCCACTTCTCTCTAGGAGCTCAGATCTTCTACTTACTCTGCCTGAAATCACTCCTCTAACCCACTCATATCACCAACACCCACCTCCTATACACACACACACACACATGCACGCACACACACACAGCCCAAACCACACCACTGCCTGTGTCTAGCTAATTCCTACTGACCATTAAGTGTTTGATTCAACCATCACCTTCTTAGTGGAGCCCTTATTTGATCTACGCCCTCCACCCACAAAATCCAGACTAGGAGCTCCTGTCATGTATACCCATATGCCATCCTCTGGTTCTTCCCATTTTTGTAATCCCTCATGCCTAACAAAGATTAGAGACACAATGAATTAATACTGACCGAAAAAAAAGCAGCAAACCCACATTCAAAGACAATACATATATCTGAAGAGTGAAACAGGAAAACAGGTAAGCATTAAGTACTCTATTAGAATTAAGAACCATAGTACACACTTACTTTGCCACTTCATTTACAACTCTGGGCTGGTCTGCACAGAAATCCACTTTAACAGTCTTTGAGGACTTGGGCGCCACAACACCATTAGTTGGAGAAATGACAATTGGTAATGGGCCCCGGTATTCCATGGTAAACATACCTCAGGAGAACAAGAGCAGATGGTTTTTATCTGGAGCCTTATAATAGTACATTCATACTCTTAGTAGGGGACAAACAAGTATTACAGAATATATGATCTATTGAGGACCAAGAATTACCACTTTGATTGCAAATGCAAGTTCTAGGGTCACCAAAGATACGTGAGCCTAGTGTTAGGACTCAACCCTCATCAACAGCTAAAATATATTGTCTGCTTACTGCATTCAGATACTTTTGCTAAAAGCTTTCCCTATGGTATTCTATTTAATCCTCATAATGATTTCATGACATCAGTTCAATTATTACCTCTATTTATAAATAAGGAAATAGAAGATTAGAAAGATTGAGTGACTTGTCCAAAGGCACACAACTATTGTGGTAGACCCCAATTCTTCACCTTTCTCTGCATCCTTAACATCATGCTACCATGGACAAAGTATATTTTCCTACCCCTTGCCTTTGAATGTGATCATGTGATCGGCTTTGGCCAATAGCATGTGGCTAGCAGTGACAACATGCCAGCTCGAACCCCAGATGTTCTCTCGCACTTCTACCACAAAAATGCTTCTCGTGAAGAGCTGCTGTCCCTTTAGCCTGGGCCCCAGAATGAGCAAATATAAAGCACAGCCACCCAGCTGACTCACAGCCCTGCAGTGAGTAACAGAACAGCCCCAGCTGTTGCAGCCTGAAGCAGCCACCCACCTGAGCTCAGCTTAGATCAGTCAGGTTCCAGCCCACCTGCATACAGATGAAAATTTTAAAAATAATTGCCCTTTTAAAGTATGGAGTTGTGAGGTGGTTTTGTTACATAGCAATAGTGGACTACTAATGCTGGTAACTAAGTAATTGAGCTGGGATGTTCACCTGGCTGTTTCTGACCACAGGACTCACACTTATAGCCACTGACACGTCTTCATGGGTGAATTAATGGAGTTCACACAGGGAAAAGGCAAAAGGAATGGGTTTCTAGAATCAAATAGCATATGAGAAGTACCCTATAAAAATAATTTCTTATAAAAGCAGACATGGTTCATAATATTCAGTTATTTGGTGCCTGTATTAGAGCACACAGTCCTTGAGATCAGACACTATATTTTCCATCTCTGTGGTCCTGACATCCCACATAGTTCCTGGAACAAAGCTATGCTCAAAATATACCGAACAAATGGAAACAGCCAGCCACAAGTCTCTTAAATATCATTATACAGTATTAACACAAGTGAGCATACTGCCAATGGAAACAACTTTGCAAATGCCCAAATCACGCATTTTAAATAACCTTTTATGACATTTTCCAAAATTATTTGCTTTACTTAGGCAAACTAAATATTAGCATAATAAAAGTACTAGAAATATGAAAAGACAAAAAAAAAACTTAAGTACAGAAATGACCTGATGGAAAAGGCAAATTCACAGTGACAAAATTTGTTAATCCAATCACTTTAGGAAAGTGCTAATGGCATAATATTTAAGGTTTATTTTCTGTCATAAAATAAAACAAATTCTTATACTATTCTATCCATGCCAAATAAATAAGTATTATTGACTCAGTTCTCCAGAAAAACTGCATGAGTTCAGTTAAGGCTGAGTCAGTATAATTGATCCTGTACTGTAAACACTTGGACAAAATTTGTCAGGAGTCTAAGTAAGGTTTCAAACATTTATTCAGCAACAAAACCAAAAGAATATTGTTCAGTCTTCTAAATATATGAAAACTGTGGGTACACAAACATTACTGTGTTGTATATAACTTTAATACCATTAGTAATCATGACATGTTTGACTGTTGTATTTTCTAATTGCTAACAGGAACAAGGGCATCATCCTAAGAGAAGAATATCCTTGCAGGAAGGATGTTACAGGTGAAATTCTACCATCAATTTTCATTTCTTTTCAGATATAACACTGGCTAATGTGTGTACAGTAATCTATAAGATGAGTGGAGACTTCAGAGAAATTATTTAGGCTAGTGTAACTACTAAGCAAGAGAAGATGGCCTGTTATGGAGAAGTGGCAATGGGACAGAGAGAAGGCAAATTATTGATATGATCAGGAAGTCAATAGACAGGATTGAATAATTGACTAAAGGGGTAGGAGAGGAAAAAAATGGAGGCTTCAAGGATTTTGCCAAGTTCCTCACTTTCCCAAATACATGGTGGTGACATTTAATGAAAAAGAGAAGAGGACAAGTTTTGGGGAGAAGCTGAAGAGTCTGGTTTTAGGCATGTTAAGTTTGAGAAACCTGAAGGAAGAACAAAGTATTGTGTAGACTTCAATGAAGTAACATGAATGGAAGTAATTGCCTAGGGAATGCACGTTGACTGAGGAAACACGAGGGTCCGTGGCAAATCCTAAGGAACACCTGCATTTAATGTGCCAAAAAATGGACAGCAGTCCCCAAAAGAAAACTGAAGAGGAGGGAGTCAGTAGAAAAGGGATAATTCTAACATTAAGAGTGAATATTTATTGAAGACTTAAGACATGTCAGAGGGTGTACTAAGCATTTTATTAACCATCACCACAACTGTAGAGGGCAGACACTATGTGTTTCTCTACAAGTGAGGCAGTGGATATTCAGAAAGTATAAAGCCCTTGCCTAGGGCTGCCCAGCCAGTGAATGTTGCAGCCAAGATTTGGGCCCTGGAAGACCTGATGCCGGGAAGTGAGCTATTTATTATTAACCATGATTTTATATACGAGAGTGAGGGGTCACAGAAGCCAAAGTGGCCAACTGTGTCAAATGTTGTTAATAAGCCTTGTAAAATAAACATGTGGACTTGTCCACCGATGAGACTTAGGAGAGCATATACAGTTGTGGCTGAGATGAAGGGTCTTCTGTACAAACCTGTATTTTGAATCAGAGTTGCTCCACTTTTTCTAGAAAAGTAGCTTAGGCACTGGGTGGCAAAATACGCATTGTTATCTGGCCCTTATTCCTCTAAAACAACAGGTAAACAGTCTGTAGTTTTACAGAATGCTACTGAAAACCAAGAGTTACAACCCAAGGCCATTTTTATTGGCTATGTATGCTTTTTTCCCCCTAAGTTTCCTTGGGTCTAAGCATACCAAAGATGTACCAGTCTCTACCTGTCTCCAAATGACTAAGTTTTGGAGACTTTCAGAATGCTCATATGTGATTAAATGGGTTACTTCCAAAATCACCTTTCACTGAAAGCTCAATGGTTCTTTACTAAACCACTGAATCAAATCAATTACACACAGGTTTACTGAATGTCTACTGTATGTCTAGCATGGTATTATGCATGAAAAGTATATTGAGATTCCATGGCATGAGTTTCCAAGAAAAGAAAAATATGCATTGTGAATAAATAGTGCGTGCTTCTGGGTAGTTTGGGAGGATCCCGAGGACCACACACGGGTTGGGTCCAATTTAGCAAATCTCCTGGTTGACAGAGGATGCCCGGCTTTTGTAGACAGTGAAGTGGGGAGGTGATGTTAACAATCAGGAAAAGGGGGACAGTGCACATTAAGAGCAAGAGAAAGGTCATATATTTTGAGCCAAATGACCCAAATAAACCTAAAGGATGATGAGTTCTCCGATAGCTATTCAAACCCAGAAATGGTATGTAAAGGTCACACTAAGGACTTTAAAGACTGTTCTACATCATAACACCGTAGTAGGAAAATGTCTACTGAAATGTTGAAGAATACTGAGGGTAAGAGATTTAGAAATGATTGCAATTTGAGGTGAGCTGAAATAACAATGTTTTTTCAATCTTCAAAGATAACTGAGAAACAATAAAATTGTGAGAGAACATGGAGTTCACCAGCTCATAAAGTACTAATAGCAAAGACATCTTACAGATTGAACCGTGTCTTTTCAAAATGAAAAGATAAGTGCTTCTTTGCACAGTCAGGAGTGCACTTAGGAAACATTCTTTTAAAGGGTCAGAAAACAAATGTTCCAACAACATTTGGCTAAATCCATGGAGGGATACTTCATAAAGGGCTATAAAAATGAAACATCGTGAAGTTGTTACACAGAGAAACTTTGGGGTCTACAAAACCAAAGATGATAACCAAAGTGATGCCACCAAAGAGAGTAAACAAATCTGATACAAATCATGAACCTGAGGAATGTAGTTTTTTGAGTCCTCTTAAGTGTACATGTAAATTTGTAAACATTTGATCTTTGACTCTAAAATTATAAAATATTTGGCACATAAAATCCTTTTTAAAAATTTATTAAAGTCATCTTTGGTTGCTGAATCTATTTTCTACATAAGTGTTTTTTTCTTCATGAAAATACACTGTTCTCATGAATATTTAGATATTGTGCTTATAGTAATAAAGACTTTATGACACTGTACAGGCACTTGCTATAAATATAAAAAATGCTATCAATTTTGGTAAAGGTGGAAAAATAACATTATTCAACCTCAGGAATGAGGGACAAAGTCAATACTAAGAAAATGTGTTTCATTGACAATACTTTTTTCTTTTGTAAAGTAATAGTAATTAACATTTTACAGTTCTCAATTATAATTTACAAAATACAGTATTCACTACAAATACTATGAACACATAAAATATAAATACAACATTAAAAGCCAATGTAAATTATTTTTCCTAAAATATATGGACCCGGGTCTGAGGCTTAATTTTATTTATTTTATTAGGTAAAATAATATTAAATATTCAATTAAAGTAAAACCATACTTTTTTTACTTATAGAGAGCTTTTATGTACAATAAAACTGTATGATCTGGTGAGGTTTTAGAATAAAGAGAGAAAATTAACAAAACTTTGAAGTATTTGTTACTTACAACTGCTACAAGAGATTTCTGGAAAGTAAAATAATAAAAATAAAATTGTCTCAGTTGCATATCATTGCTGTAAAATATAACCAGAGAGTCTACAGGCCCATACAGCCCATGATCACTTGCCATGAAAGACTCTCTCCTTAATATTGGGGTCAGACCACAAATGAGCCTAGTATTCCACAATCCCACAGGCACCAGAAATTTAATCACTTAAAAACCAAAGCACCAAAAGTGAAATGAGTATCATTCAATGAGGAACAATGATCAGTGTTATTTCTTTATATCCTAGCCCCCCCAAAATTGGTAAAGTGACAGACTGCCTTTGCCTTAATAATTCCCAGTGCTCAATCAAGCAGCCCATAGAACATCCAAACTTAGTGTCAGATGGGTTTAAGACCTGGTTTATGTGTCCCACAAGCAGTCTTAGAGAAAAATGTCTTCCCTATGCGGAGCTAGTCCTCATTTCCATTTCACAGAAATGACAGCCCTGACCATCCAATGAGAATGAAAGGATAAGTACTTTGATGCCTACTGTATACCAGCAATGAAGAATGTGCATGAGCACAGGCAGACAGGCCTTTATGCAAACCCTTAGGTCACAGCAAAAATCTCCAGAAATAATCCAGTCTGAAGAAGAGCATTTACTCTTTCAAGAAAGAGTTCCTAAGAGCTCTCTAGGGACCATCATGTGAATTCAAACTTGAATAGGGAAAAAATTTTGAGTGTCTACGTTAAGTACCATATGACAACCTTAAGTACGTACATAATTAAGCACAGTACATTTTGTCACCCAATTTATAAATGAGGAATCTCAAGGTCAATGTCATTAAAGATAATTGTACCAGATCACACAGCTTGTAAGTCACTATGCCTTGATTCTATCTCAGGATGACCCTAAGGACTAGGTCAGTTCATGACTCCGTCCTGCCTTCTATTGACGGGTTCATCACCAGTCATCTGAGAGTGAGGGTGTGTTAATCAGAATCATAAGCAGAATGAGTCATCTTTCCTGAATAATTGCTTCAGTCTTTTACAGTCACCCTATATAACGACCTCATAGACATTTGCGGGGAGGAGGGGGGGTGTGAATCAGAGAATCCATTAATTATACAAGGTATATTTTTCAAATAGTATTAACTATCTTCCAAAAGTGTGAGTTGATTTTTATGACATGAGTATTTACCTTGAACCTTGCCATGATTAGTGATTCTAACCTCTTTACAATGCACTTTACTATTGGCAACCAAAGTCCCAAAATTAACCTCTGGCTCAATTTCCAAATCACAGCATGGAATCAACCTAGGAGAGGAGAAAAGAGGACCACATAATGAATTTTAATGATTATAACCTTGTGGTTAAGTCTACAGGTCCACTTACTGGTGGCACATTTGTTAGTAAAAGGAATTGTGCAATAAAGACATGAAAGCAAGATAAGAAGACACATTTTAAACAAAGAAATCAGACTTTATGCATCTGAGTACATGGTGTACCCTCCCAAGTACTCACCTTCAGAGGCTACCCACATGTCTCCATATTTTTGTTGCTTAAAACACATTTGGAGCTCTGTTTTGGAATCTCCATCTAAGCCCATAAAATGCATTCCTTTGACCCTCCTCAAAAAGGGTTGAACTGACCTTAACAAAGTAAAGTAGTTTGGATGATACCAAATCTGATTAAATAAAAGAAGGTGTGATGCTATGGTGAAAAATGGAATGCAAATACAAATCTGAGGGAAAAAACATGAGGTAAAACTTTCAACTATTAAACACTTACTATGTTATTTCCATTTTACTGGACACATCTAAAAGAGGCATGTAACTATCTTATGTTAACATTTATTATACATATGCAATTGCATCTCTGCAATCTTAGAAACTTTTAAATGTGAAAGAGGGGCATAGTTTTTAGAAAGACATAAAAACAGTGTTCAAATTCACTGATTTTATATTTCTCAACTGAGGCACTTTAGGAAGATCAGATAATACAAACTTCTGGTTTCCCAACAAGATTGCATACATCCATTTTTCCATGTTCCACCCCACTAAACACAACTCTAAAGCCTAGAAATGGTGCAAGAGGCAATCAAAGGAGAATAATGAAAATTGGTGAAAAGGTAGAGCTGGCTGGTTTGGGACCCGAGGACTGTAGGAACAACACAGAAATGCAAATTAAAGCTCATATGAAACTCCAGTATTGAAATGGTCAAAATTAAAAATAGTGACAGCAACAAATGCCAGTGAAGATGCAGCACACAGATCGCTCATACATGGCTCACTGAAATGTAAATGGTACAGCCACTCTGAAAAAGAGGTTTGGAATTTTCTTTTAAACTAAATATGCAACTACCATATGACCCAGCATATGAAGATTAAAATTTATTTTCACATAAAACTTGTACATGAATGTTGATAGCAGCTTTGTCTGTAATAGCCAAAAATGGGGATTAGCCCTGAAACCTTTCAACAGGTCAATGGGTAAACAAACTGTGGTATACGTGTACCATGGACTAGTTCTCAAGAAGCAAACTATTGATATCTTTAACAACTTGGTTGCATCTCCAGGGAGCTTTGCTGTGAAAAAAAAAAAGATCAATCCCCAAAAGTTATAAAACATATTTGAGATGAAAAAATTTTAGAAATGGAAGACAGATTAGTGGTTTTCAGTTTAGGGATGGTGCTTGTGAGGCAGAAGAGAGGTGGGTGTGGTTATAAAAAGTAACAAAAGGGAGGGATCCTTGTGGCATTGGAACTGCGCAGTATCTTGACTCTAGCGGTGGATACGAAATCCTACATAGGTAATAAAAATGTATAGAAATTAAAAGTTTATACACACACAGGATTTTAAGTAAAGCTGTGGCAACATGAGTTCAATAGGTGGATTGTTCACTGTAAATTTGCTAGTCATGGTATTATCCTATTGTTTTGCAAAGTGTTACCATTGGGGAAAATGCACAAGGAATCACTTCTTTTAATTACATGGGAGTCTGCAATCATCTCAAATTTTTTAAAAATGGAAAAATAGCAGCAAGCTTGCTCATGACATCTGCCTTCAGCCCTGCCCGTCACACTTTAAGGAGGCAGTGTCGTCTTTCTGTTGTGACTCTGGCGAGCAGCTGGTCTCCCATGAGAGAGGGTACATTATAGGACTAAGGCAAAAATCCGTTCTCAAAGGCAGAAGCATCTTCAACATTTCTCTCCATATACAGCACAACCAAGCAAATCTGAACGTTGGCAATAGGTATGTCAATGTGCAGAATGGGCCCAAAAATGGCCTTTCTCAAAATAAAATGGAAAATGTAAATTATATATTTATAATAGCATAATGTTTTTTGTTTCTTTCATAACATGTACCAACTGTTTGATTCTTATGCAGAATGGGATAGTGTGCAGAATCAGAACCTCTCAATACACAGAGAAACAAAATAATTGCAGACCTAAATGTAGTTTATTAAAATGAAAAAACACAAGGGAAAAAATAAAAGGGCACATGTCTAATACTAAATTCATTTTAATATTTCAATATTAATTCTGCTGCTGGTAGACAAATACCACTTTCTTTACTAAGTCTTTCTGTCTAAATGTACCAAAAAATAGAGGAAATAAATAGGATGTGACATCAAGGAAAAAGAAAAGAATACATGCAATTGTTGAATGTTTTTAAGTTATCTTATTTAAAAAATACCAGCAAAGTAGTCTTCATTTCTTTTAAACCAAAATTTGCTAAAAATTTGCCCTTTAAGTTCAGCTGTAAGGAAACCACAGATAAAACAAGCCATGTTAGTCAGGGAATATAAGGAATATTACTTTGACCTTAATTTTTATTTGAAGAGTGCTCGAAATGTCAGCATGGAATATGAAGAATACGTACCCAGTAAGAGGGATCTCTATTGCTTTGTTTCCTACGACAATATATAGTTGGTCAAAAGTGTTTTCATCTTTATTTGGATGATATTCCACCATAGCTGTAATATGAAGTCCTGAAGCAAGTTCTTTCTCCATACTAGGGAAAATCACTTTGAACTTCAATGGAAGAAAAAAAATCAAATTACACATCTTAACTCCTAATATGAAAATCATGTGAGCAAAATCATGCTAGGAGTGTACATTATTTCAAGAAATATTTCAAAAACATAGGCAATATTGCTACCCTAGAGGCAAAGACTAAATGGCTATTTATACCTTTATATCTGAAAGGATACAGTTTTAACAGTATGACAATTGAAACTGACAATGCAGTCAGTTGAGAAATAGTATGTAATGCTGAGGGGTACTTAAATATAGAAAAAAGGAAAAGCAAACTAATAAAAATGTTACTCAATCATGTATACATGCATAATACATAAAAGCATACACATACACATACATGTATACACACACACATAGCTTTTTATATACTTTCCACATGGGAACAGAGACTTCATAATTTGCGGGAAATGTAAAAAAGAAATATGCATGCTAAAGAGGGGAAAAACGCTTTCTTTCTTTTCAAATATTTGCTAGACTCCAGGAAAAAAATTAAGGAGCAAAGAGAACTGCTATCTTTTGAGCACTTATAATAGGTCAAGCTTGCTACATCTCAATGCACTTCTACAGTCCTATAAGACTCATATTATGGCTCCCAGCATATAGATGAGGAAACTGGAACTTCTAGAGTGTAATTAATGCCTAAGGTCAGTCAGGCATTGTGGATTCAAAACACACATCTACCTGACTCTAAAACTTAAGCCCTTTCCCCACAACTGTACAGAGTCCCTCTCCTGAATACATAATCTCTTTAAGGAAGCAGACTATACACCCCTAGAAAGTTAAATAATGTAAACCTGGGACTAATTAAGTGTCACATGAGTGAATCAGCCATATCATGAAAATCCTCAGGAGAACATGATTACTGTGGGCTAGGAAGAAGTGCACTTGGCCTAGGCTTAGAGATGGATGTTAAAAAGTGGAGAAGCAAGAGAGGTGCTCCCTGTGGGAGCAGGAATATTTCAGACACAACCAGAGAAAAGAATAAGCAAAATAATCTCTCAGCAGGCAGCTAATAAGCTAGTCTAGCTGAGCAAAGAGCTTCAGTCAGCAGCAATAGCAGTCATGTTGAAAAGAATTATTCAAGGATTTCAATGCCAGGCTGAGAGTCTAAGCAGTGCTTTAGAGCAATGAAGGAGATAGAGCATGGGAATGATTTGTTGATAGCCACCAATCTGAAAGCATCATACCTCCAACAAACAATGATTCTGATACCTCATAACTATCACACTGCAATCCTCAACCCCCCTGCAATTACAAAACAATTAGACAACAATAGACTGTTCCTCAGATAGGCCTTTGGGTGCTGGCAGTCCACATGTCAGGTTTGACTGTCTTCCCTGAAAGAGGCTCTGTCTTCAAGAAGGGAAACCAGGGCTTCAGCGGCAGGTGCTTATGGTCAAAGTACAAGTTGCCGAGCGCTTTGAGCGGTCTGCAAAGTGTATAAGGTACTTCCCTGCTCTTAGGAGCTTCTGAACTGACCATTAAGATAAAAATTAAGATTTACCAGGATTCAGCCCTGGCTGTATGGCCCAGTGGATTGAGCCCTGACTGGCCTGTGAAGCAAAGGGTTGCAGGTTTGATTCCCAGTCACAGCACATGCCTGGGGTTGTGGGCCAGGTCCCCAGTAGGGTGCATGCAAGAAGCAACCACACATCGATGTGTCTCTCCTTCTCTTTTTCCCTCCCTTCCCCTCTCAAAAAATAAATAAAATCTAAAAAAAAAAAGATTTACCAGGATTCATGGGCACACAAGTCCAAACTATAATGAATGTCTTTAAATGCAATTGGTATCCAGTAGGGTAGAAATTGTTTGGAGATAATATAAAAAAAGACTTGTTAGAGAAAATGAGAACACACATTGACCCTCAAAAATGGGTGGAATTTGGAAAGAAGTGATTCTTGCAGGAGAGGAAATAAAAACATGCATCAAAAATTTTTAAAAAGTCTGTGCCATGGCAGTAAGGAGACAATTATGAGTAAGACTGTCTTGGCTGAACCAGAGGCCACATGAGTCAGGATTGTGTTGTCAAAAGTGTATCTTTTGTATTTTCTACCAGCAGCCCACAGTAGATAGTATATAGCACTTCATATGACACATAGTAGGTACTCACTACATAGACAATGCAGAATCTTGAGTCAGGGTGGAAAACAACTAGTATCATGTGTTAGAATAATTTTCTAAGTAATTATAATAGTGGTGATGGCAAGGCTCTCTACAAAGCTCCTTGTTTGTCTTTTGTCCTCCAAGACAGTTAATGCATTTTCTGCTCATCTATCTCTTCCCTACTTCCCATTATGACTATGAAGGATCTGCAGTGCCCATCATAGTCTTGCACCAAAGAGAATTTCACTATGCAATGGGCTCCTGGCTTTGGCCTCTAACTAGTGAGCCTGTCTAGTCATTCTCTCGTCAATGTCAAGACATGTGGTCTAAACAGTTTTCCTTTTTAACTCTTAAATGCAAACCAAAACAAAACAAACTATATCATTGTTCTGTCTGCATCAAAACCAGGAGACATCCATAAAAGAGTGTTTGCCCACATCTGGGATTACTGCCAGCTTGAGATTTAAAAGCAAGTATTTTCAGATACACAGTCACTTGCTCCATAAATATGTAGTGAGGTAGAGAAATAAGCTTTCTCACTAATTATATAGTATTTGGAGGAATCAGGTACTTTTTGATTTAATGAGCAATTAATAGTCTCTTGTGCTGTACTATTAAAAAATAAACACATTACTATTGTTAAAACGCAAATAAGAAAATGAAGAATGTGTGATTCCATTTATATGAAACACAAGAACAGGCCAAACTAATCTTTGGTGTTAGAAATCAGTACAGTGGTCATCTCCAAGGGCTGATTAGTCCAGGTACTGTAGGAAACCTTCCTGAGTACTAGAAATATTCTATGATTTGGGCCAAGTGGTGGCTACATGGGTACATACTTACATATATAAACTCAGCAAGCTTTACTTTCAAGATTTGGGCACTTTAGTGTAGATAAATAGTACATTAGTTTATTTAAACATATAAAAGGTAGAATATGAAAGTCCTTTTCTCTCATTGCCCTCCTATATTGTGTTAAATATATGTAACTTTAACTCAAAAACACACAGACACCTTTCCATCTTTGTACATGTAAGTCCAGCTGAATCCAATACTATTCATCATTAGGAATACTCCACTAAAAAGTCAGTTATTCATCACCCACACATCAAAAACTCTTATTACCTTTCCTGTACCAAATGTTTCCCTGATAAAGGGTGATCACAGTAAACTAATAACTATCCATTCACACCCATTCTCTAACTGTGAGATAGAGATGAAATTATGTCAACTTGTAGGTCAGAAGATAAGGGCAGCCTCTCAGAACATTAATTTTGCTGATGCTTAGACGTTGACTGACATCCTGTGAGTTTCTAAGTCCTATGAGGGAAGGGCTATGTTCATCTTGCATTCCTCACATCTACTGCCTATTATACAGTAGGTACTCAGCAAGTACTTGTTAAAATGTAAATAGTAAACCTTCCCAATATCCTATAATATCTGGAATAATCAAGCACTTTATGGTTCAAAGGTTGGTCGTCATTAACTCTACAGAATCATTAGACACAGATTCTGGGCCAAACAGAGACAGACATGGAACCCCCTTCCCTACTTTCCATACCCAGAATGAAGAAATTGGGAGGTTCTAGATCAAATTTCCCCACTGTGTCTCAACCCTAAGTAAAAAGGACAAACAAACAAACAAAGCAAGCACAGGTATACACAGAGAGACTTAACTCACCGCTCACCAGGAAACCCAATCCGGACCCCCATCCCCGCCGGAGCCTAGTGCCTACCCTCCAGGACAATGTGGGCACCCAAGTGGGAAGGCAGTGTTAGAGCCCCAGTCCTCCTGAGGTCCTGCTCGGAATACTGTGGGGTGTGTTACCTGTTGGTTGATCGGCTCCAGAAACCGGATCTTCTGGTTGCTGCGGCCAAGATTGTGAAGAGTAATTGACTGGCGGTACACCTTCCCCGCCACGGTGTCCTGGAACTTCAGCTCCAAAGGAACCACCCGTAGCTGCAACTCCTTTGGAGTCTCCACTTCCCGAGGGATCAGGGATCCCCTGTGTGTATTCATATCTGTCCTCTAGGTAGCCCGCCAAATGAAGGGGACTTGACCCACTGAGGACTGGCGTTAAAGATGGACTATTGTTTACGCCGTCGCTAGGCAACCATCGGGGACGGCGAGCGCCTAAGGTCTAACCCAAGCTTCGCGACTGAAGATTCGAATTGAGAAAGCCAGCAAAATCTCGCGAGAACGCCGGGGTTACAGGTGTCACCAGAATAGCCTGAAAACTTGCCATAGCAGCCCAAATCCCAGAGGCATCTCACTTTGCCATGGCATGGCAGAATTTTACGATGACACTGGTGGGGGCATCTTCCTGGATTTTTCTCAAGATGAGACCTAAAGAGCAGCGAAAGTTATGTGCCCACGGGGTCTGTTAAAGCAGCAAGATGCAACAGTAATGGAGGAATTCAATGGAAACCGAGTGAGGGCCCCTAGGGGTCCTATTTAGTGGCTTTTAGGCTAATGTTTCTAAAAAATGTAATAGCAAGCCTCCGTGTCTTTTGTTAAAATGCAGATCATGTTTCAGTAGATCTGGGGCAGGGCCTAAGAATCTATTAGAAACAAGGTCCCAAGCCCTGGCTGGCGTAGCTCAGTGGATTGAGCGCGGGCTGGGAACCAAAGTGTCTCAGGTTCGATTCCCAGCTAGGGTACATTACTGGGTTGCTGGCCATAACTCCCAGCAACCGCACATTGATGTCTCTCTCTCTCTCTTTCCCCCCACTCCCTTCCCTCCCTAAAAATAAATAAATAAAAATCTTAAAAAAAAAAGAGAGCATGTTTCTAAGAAAAAAGAAGAAGAAACAAGGTCCCAGGTGATTACAACGCTGCAGTCCAAGGGCCACACACTGAACTTTGTTAACTACCCTTGTTTCTTCATTTGTGAAACCAAGGTGCTGCTCAGAAGACTGACATCAAACATCTTCATAGCTAGATGAGCACCTTTCCAACAGGCCATGATTCGCAGTGCCCACTCTCTACTCTCTCCTCATCTTCATCTTCTGTGATGGCTTTAGGGTTTCAAAACATAACAGGTGAGTGGTATTCCCCTTCGATAATCTACCTCTAATCATAACTGTATCACACTTATTCTACAGACCTTTATGAATTTGGAGCCAAGCACTGCTTTAATAGCTTTTATTTTTGTTTTTTATTTTATTTTTAAAAAGACTTTATTTATTTATTTATTTTTAGGGAAGGGAAGGGAGAGAGAAAGAAAGGGAGAGTAACATCAATGTGTGGTTGTCTTTCACGTGCCCCCCACTGGGACCTGGCCAACAACCCAGGCATGTGCCTTGACTGGGAATTGAACCAGTGACCCCTTGCTTCATAGGCCAGCACTCAATCCACTGAGCCACCAGTCAGGGCTATTTTTGTTTCTTATTTTAAAAACTAGATGGAATTCATATATATGTTACAGAACAGACCCAAGGGGAGGTGTACAATATACTATTACCGAAAGGACCCCCACTAGGTTCGCTATGCCCACCGTAAGAGGAAAGACGTCTCTCAATGCTAGAGATTTGTGAAAAGGAAAGGAAATCTTTATTTAAAAGTTATACAGACTAAAGTCCTTTAGAATACCTACAGATACACACAGTCCTTCCTTCTCCCTCTGCCCTAGTCTGGGTAACAGTATCTCAGGAAAAGAAGTAGAAGTCCGTGATTCAGGCTCCTGGAGAATTACATATCAGCAGATCTGATAGTATGTAATGAGTTTATTAGTGGCCCGCTTCCATGGAAGATAACAGGACTAGGTGAGAGAGAGAGAGAGAGAGAGAGAGAGAGAGAGAGAGAGAGAGAGAGAGAGACCTTTGTTCTCCGGACTTACGTAGTTGGTGGGATAGGAGGGAAAAAAGTTACATATTGATTAACGGGTAAATGTGGTGCCAGCTTTCCTGGGGAAATGTAACTACCCAAACTTAGGGATGTGTGGGGGTCTGTTAGCTCGAATAGTTATCTTGCTTCAGACTCCACTTGGTCATCCTGTTGTAAAACAAATACGTGACAGGAGGCAGTTAATTAAAATTGGGGCACTTTCCAAAGTTATTTATGGGCTCTTTCTGTAAGCATCAGGGACTCCCTCATAAAACAGACAGTGACCAGAGGTAGGGAATTAACCAAAGTTGTTTTACGGGCTCTTTCTTTGGGCACTGTGGACCCTCTCCCACATTCAGGCCTTGGGATGAAAGCACAGTTTCAAGGCCTTTTTTCCTAGACAGTGGAAATGTTACATAGAATTTCAAGGACTTTCCTTCTTTTTTGCTAATATAGTGTTTCTTGTGATGTTAGAACACCTGGCAATATTATCAGACCAGGCTCAGGACTGCTGAGTTAGCATGTGAGACTTGTCTCCTTCTTCCTTTCTGCCTTGGTTTACTATTTATTCTACCTAATTGGTAAAAGGCGTTTCCTGGCAACCAGGGTGCTAAATGCTGGCCAGTGGCAGTATTGCAGCCTCTGAGTTCTTCCTATGCTGTCTCCTGCCTCAGCACCTATTCATGGCCCACCAGCAAGAGTCCTTTCATCCGTTTTCTTCCAGGCAAAGTCTCTCCTGCTTCCTAAGCCACGTGGCAAAAGGGAGCACCCCAAAGCCACGTGGTCCTCACTCTTGTCAAAGCTGTAGGGTCCCCACTCTGCCAAAGCCACGTAGTTCTCCCCTCATATGGCTGCCATGTCTGGGTTTAAATCCCCGAGCCAGTCTTCCTCTGCAGCCCCATTTCCGACTCCTCCCACACTCAGTTACACCTGCCAGCATTCCTGTATTCTTCCAGGTTTTCTGGGTTGCCATAGTGAGTCTGGGCAGGTGTGGCCCCATCGCATGGAGCCAATCTTCTCCAAGCTCTCACCAGGGGGAGCTATCTCCCAGCAGCTGAGTGGAAGTTACTTCCATCCCCCAGGCTCAAAGCACTGGCCACAGCTATTTAACATATCTGTGAAACCAGTTAAAGGCTATAGATATGTTAAATGACCAGGCCAGAGGTTAGCTGCAAAGCTGTTGCTGTACAAAACAGCTCTGAATGGCCCTGCTCCATGTGCCCCATCCCCCAGCTCAGACTTGTGGGGGCGAGGACATCCTATATATATATTTTTCTAATATTTCCTAGGCACTTTGAGTTCTGGGCCCCATTCCAAATCCCTATTTGCCCTCCCCCCCCGCCTTTTGGCTCCACCTTGTTACATATATATGCTCATATTTTCATTTCCTCCAAGCAGTTTCTCATCCTTCAAAACCTAAATATCATTGTCAATCCTTTCCATAACTGTTTTAAAAGATTCACACAGTATCAAGATGATAAGTTATTACTTCATTTTAAAGTTGCCTTGAATATAAAGACCAGTTTGAAAATTTCTTGGAATTGTAGTTGTCAATATTTGAAAATAGTACATGTGGTGGTGGTGATGATTACTGTTTGCAAACTCATATGAATTGATAGATTAAAAGCATCTGCATTGTTTTCAAAATTCTATAAATTTTGTTTAACAAATAGGAACTAGCTAGATGTTTATACTAATCACTATTTTGATGTCATAATACAAGTCTGGTCCATGTCCTGGAGCCCCTCTGCAGGGCAGTTGAACAGTGCTGAAAGGCTTACAGCTGCTCAAGGAACTTGACTGAACTAAGACCACTGTGCATGCAAAGCCCTCCTGCAAAAATTGGAAACTCCAAAGAGCTCTCAAAATTGTTTCCTCAATTTTGTTCACTCTCAAGAAGACTGACCCAAGCCTGACTTCTATGTAGACTCTAAAGATATAAGTGGTTTAAATCAAATGAAAAATTTTGTATCCGTGTTCTGTTGATACTCTCATCAGCTAAAGGGTTTCACATAGTTCTCTCCAAGTTCACCAAGCCTAAAGCTCTAGCCACTGCCCTTAGTAACTATAGTTAAGCCTCCTTGATTGGTTGCCTATATTTTTACCTACGTTAAGTGTAAATTTTAGATAAAATTGAAAGGAAGCAGAGTTTGCCACCCTAACATATGCCTTTTGGGATTTTGATTATTTTAAGTTGGTTATTCTTAAGAAACAAATGTTATGTAGAAGTTAGCAAAATGCAGGAGGAAGGTGGGAGGTGGTCCAGAGCATTCAAACAAAAAACCCATAAAACAACTTTGGTTAATTGCCTGCCTCTGGTCACTATCTGTTTTAGAAGAATCCACAGTGCTCAGGGAAAAAACCCATAAATAACTTTACTTACTTGTCCTAACTTTGATTAACTGCCTCCAGTCACCTATCTGTTTTACAACTGATGACAAAATGTGGTCTGGAGCAAGAGAATCTGGATTAATAATCCTTCACACATACCTACCTTTAGGTAGTCACAGGTCCAGCTCCCCACCCCACCTGGTACCACCTTTACCCACCAATCAGTATGTAACTCCCTCACCCCCACTGAAACCAGAAAAGCAGGCATTCCTGCTGCTGATAGAGAACTCAAGAGTTGGACAATTTTAGTTTAAGGTAAAAAGTCATAAGCCTAGCAAGTAACCTACGTTAAAGCTTTTGTTTCAGGAACTACAGATAAGGCCTCTCCTGGCTCCTGAGAAAACAGCTGACCTCCTGGGATTCTGCTAAAGGTTACTGCCTGGGGACACCTGGAGGCACCTGGACCTTTGTATTCCAGGGAGATACTGGTGACCACCTGCCCCTGGGAACAGATAACTGCCCAGGACAGAAATGTTGCAGCTTCGCTCACCTAATCCTCCCTGAATTTTAAAGCCCTCACTGTACCTGTTTTATTCCCTGGTATAAAAAGTCTGGTCTGGAAAGAAAAGACAAAATGGTATGTTAGGGTATGAACCCACCATCTGTTGACAGGAGAGACCTGGTTCTTCTTGCTGACACATGAAAAGAATTACATACCAGCAAATCTAGTAGTATGTAATCAGTTTATTAGTGGCTCGCTTCCATGGAAGAGAACGGGACTGGGTAGAGTAGGGGGTGAAAGGCAAAGTTTCAGAGCAAAGCAGGGTGAGAAAAGCAAGAGAGGCTGGAGACCAGGGTGGCAA